TAGAATGGAGTTTCATATAATTTGATGGGATCCTTATAGACACTAAACACTGGTCCTTCCACCTAATGGATCACTAAGTCACCACAATTTACTCCATACTATCGTGTTGGACATGTTATTATTAATAGTTAGAAGCCACATTAAAGAGCAGCTATTATTATTATTATTATTATTATTATTATTATTATTATTATTATTATTCCAAAAGGCTGAACCTCAACCCTAAGGGCTCCCACCTAATGGATCACCCCTCACCCTAATGGAAATTGAGTGAGTGAAATGAAATTGCATGCCCTAATTTCGATTCTCAATTAATTTACTACAAAGAAAAATAATTTACTCTTAATAGAAGTCATTCTTTCAATTCTTATATTATTATGACTGTGAACGAGGATGACATTTGACCTGTTGAACAAAAGAGTAGTATGTTCACAAGAAATATCACACATATTTTCCACCCAAAAACAATATTTGATAATTTCTTCAACCGAGTAATGACAAATTAGATGGAAGAAGAAGGGGAAAAAATGTGACTGAGTTCACACTTTGCTTGGCTTTGACTCTGGTTTTATAATTGAATTTAGTTTAACTGTACTAGTATATTTTTTTTTTTGTGGATGATGAGGAAAACTATAGGTTAGGTTGGCATCAATAGTTCAGAGATGAAGGAAGTGGGAGAATGATATTCAACAAACTGGAAAAGTGTATTCTGTTTACATCAAGAAGCTCACATATATACACAGTTATGGCTGTAACTACTCTTAACTACTTTGATATGGTCGAATTGAGATTCATATATAGAAGATCACGTCCCATCATTCAAATTGTGCAGCAAATAACCTTTGATTCCAGCTGGGATACCAACGAAAATACATCTCAGTCTTTTGGCTGCCATCTTATGTTTAGCATTTGTGAGGGTAGCAGTGTAGCATAGACAACCAAATACCCTAATGTTGCTGATGATGTCTGATCATTCCCATATAGTCTCTTGTAGGGGCTTGATAAGGCAATGACAGGAGAAGGGAGCCTGTTTATAATAAAAATCACATTTATAATACAGTGTCCCCAAAATTCTAAGGGGAGATTAGCTTGAAATCGTAGAGATCTAGCAACGTTAAGGATGTGTTGGTGTTTACGCTCTATAACAACATTTTGATACGGTGTATAAACACATGAGCGTTGGTGAATAATCCCTTTCTTTAAGAAGAAGTTCTCCATTTTAAATTCGGCCCCATTGTCACTACGAATTGTTTTGATCAAGGTGCCAAATTGAGTGAACACATAAGCGTGAAAATTCTTCACAATCTGCCTTGTTTCAGACTTGTTCTTCATCATATGTACCCAAGTGAATCTAGAGTAATCATCAACCAATGTCAAGAATTAATAATCTGCTTTCAAAGAATAAACGGGAAATGGCCCCCATATATCAAGGCGACCAGAACTGGTCGCCTTTCCCAGGAAAAGGTGGCCAGATCTGGTTGCCTTCTCCTGGGGAAGACGACCAGTTCTGGTCGCCTTCTCCATGGAAGACGACCAGAAAGGTCGCCTTCCGCTGCGGGGAAGGCGACCTTTCTGGTCATCTTCCCCAGGAGAAGGCGACCAGATCTAGTCGCCTTCCATACATGGAGAAGTCGTCGGTGGAAGGTGGCAGTTGGTCGCCTTCCGTCGGAGATGGCGGTCGACGACGGCTTAGCCGGCTGCTGGCCGCCGGAATTTCGTCTGAGGTCGCCGAAGTGATGCCTGAACTAAAATGACCTGCAATAACAGGTCAATTACCATTTTTGGGCATCATTGCCTAAATTTGACATGTTTGAAGGTTTAATTGATCTTTTAAAAAATTTAGGTGCCTAATTGACTTTTGGTGTAAAGTTTAGGAGCCTATTTGACCCTTTTTTCAAAAGAATATAACTGATTGTAATAATTTATGAAATGGATAAGAACAAATTTGAGTCATGTCAGCTCCAGCAAGAATTATTGAATCATGTGATCACTGGCAAATTATGTTGTGCAACCGTGTGCACCATGCATGGTGCACACAGAATTGGATCCATAATTTCTATACTATATAATTTCTGTACTATAGATTCATAATTATTGAACTCTATATTCACAATTACAAAACTCTATGTTCATAATTTTCAATGTTCATATTCCCAATTACTGAACTCTGTATTCACAAATCACTAAACTATAGTTTATGTTCATATAGCTATATGTTCATTATTTGATAATTATACAGTTTATAAATTATGAATCTATAGTATAGAATTTATGAATCTATAGTATAGAAATTATAAATTTATAGTTTAGAAATTATGAATCTACAGTATAAAAATTATGAATTTATATTATAAAAATTATGAATTTATAGTATAGAAGTTATTCGATTATGGACAATCTATGCATTGGGGTGAAGTTATGGCTCATATCTTTTGTGAACAAGAGTTCACCATCGCAATGGGATCGGAGTTACATTTGGATGATATACTTAATTTGGATCGGAGTTACATTTGGATGATATACTTAATTTATCGATCACTTTTGGGCTTGTTGTATTATAAAATTAAAGCATATGCATCTATGATTTGTCCATGTAACAAGTTGACTAGATCAAGTGTTACATAAAAAAATAAATAAGGTTATAATATGAATTAGTGTGCACAACATTATACTTATCCATTTAAAAATTATTTAGATAGATTTGTAATGAAGTCAACGAACCATTTGTTCTGTAAACAGAAATAGAGAAAATATTATGTGTACTCCTACTTTATATTCCCACACACAAAATTTTGATGTAGACACTTGTATTGAGATCCACATGAAAAATAGCTTATCCAAACCCACCACATCAATGAGTTAAATTTAGAAAATAAGATTTAATTTGGTAGTACATTTAGTAGAACTACGAAAATAGATATGAATATATAGTTTCAAAACAAGTGACTGAATAAGAGCATCCTTATCTGTGAATATTTGGGGGAGAATGTCAGAGATTATTCTTACAAATTGGTAAGAGAGTGTATGAGAGAGAAGGATTAGCTAGGTTCAACTGCAAGGGGTGGGAGATTGGAACAGGAGAAGGGAAGAAAAGCCGAGAAAGAAGATTGAATGATGTGCGCGTTTGCGCACAGCAAGCCACAGCCGTGCAAGTGTCCGACTGCGCGTCAGGCGCGCCTAACATGTACTGTAATTCTATTTTCTCTCCCCTTCTATATTCTCTTCATTAATCACACTTACATAAACCTCTCAAAAGTCCTAAAGGAGATCAACTAATGTAGAGTGAAGTAGGTTATGTTGTTGAAGATCATTAAACAAAGTAATAGTGATTTTACGAAATCCCAAGAATGATTCTCTCAAGAAGTGTGACCAGCTAAGTTTGATAGCACATGCTCCTACAGTGTGTCCATGTGACAATGCAAGTTGATGAGATCCAGGTTAATAAATCTAGTTAATAAATATTAAAACCTTTAAATCATTTCTTTATTTTCAAGGGCCACGACGAATGTTGAATTAATTATATCAAATACATTTTTTTTTTTTACGATAAAACTGGTGTCACTACTTTTTTTTTTTTTTTTTTAAATTTTTTTTAACGAACCAAGAACTTTATTTATCGTCAAAGAGGCCTAAATCCTTACAAACAAACTCATCTTATAACTCTAGCCAACAAAATATCATAAAAAAATAAATCACTTTAAATTGTCTATAGTTGATTGGTTCAAACAAAAAAGAATCAAATTTGAAACTTTATAATTATCAAGTTAACATCAACTTGATTGAATTGCCCCATACATTTTCTAGTCTACTCTTATTAGAGCATCCAGAATTGTGAAATTTTTTTTTAATGATTTTTGAGGAGTTTTTGTAAGTATGATTAGGAAAAAGAATATGAGATGAAAGAGAAAAAAAAGAAAAAAAAACTATTTTTTTAAATAATAATATATTAATAACTGTCAAGTGCACCTATCGGCACGCCTGATGCGCTCACGCTTACTCGCTTAGCGCGCCGGACTGGAGAATTTCATTCGCTGGGTCCCACCTTTTTGCAAATAACTCCACTCTTGCAGAGGAAATAGTTTTTTCTCTCTCTTACCATTAAAGGAGTATTGAATTTAGTATATTATATTATTCTTTTGTATCCGTTCCTAACACGCGATTTTGCCTCATTTACTTTGTTTTCTTTTCCAAACCAGTGGACCCCACAAAATGTTGATCTTGTCGAAGTAAAAATCATAAAAAGTCACCCTCCCCATCAACTAAAAATCATCTCTTCTTCTTTTCACTATATTAAAAACCTCCAAAAAAAAAAAATATTGGTGTGGTTGCTCTAACTCTTTTCTTTATATTTACTTTTTAGTTAGAGTGTTATTTTTATAAAATAAAAGAGTAATTACTAAAAAAATTCTAGAGTTTTTTATAATGAAATATTTTTATAGGGGATATATAAGGTTTCAAAATATAACCGTATATGTTTTTTTTTTTTTGAAAGCAACGCTATGTTTGTTGCGTTTTAGTTAATCATGCAAATTAAAAGTGGGGTTTGAACATTTTAAACTATATCTGTTCCCTTTTAAAACTTAATAATTTTGTAGTTAAAGCATTGAACTATCCTGTGAGATATTTAATATTTTTTAATTAAAATGCGATTTTTTTTTATAAGGGTCAAGATGTTTATTCATTCTTTTTTATTTTTCTTTTAATTGAATGTGAATACAAGTGAAAGTAAAAGTTATGAGTACATTTTTTTTAGGAGTACATGAAGTATTTTTCTAAATCATTTTGGTATTATTACATGGAAGTGCACATAAATAAACACAAAAGAATAGAACTGATTGTAATAATTTATGAAATGGATAAGAGCAGATTTGAGTCATGTCAGCTCCAGCAAGATTCATGTGATCACTTGGACCCACCACAAATGATATTTTTAATTACCCAAAAAAATATCAATCAATTAAATATGACCCCAAGATTGAACATAATCTTCTGAGGTTTCACATGGGCTAAAAGCATGTTGCCTTACACCCAAAGATTCAACCATTACAGACCAAAAATCAATCTCTCATCAAATAAGCCTTTCTCACTCAATTATCTCTTTTCATATAAAGAACTTCCTTCTTCTACCAAATGCGCGCTGTCTCTTCTTTGATCTCTATTTCGTAGCTTCCTCTTTTTTCTACTTTAACAAATCTGCAGTCTGATTAAAGATATTGGATAGTCGCTCTGAAATTCATTTCACTTACAGATCCGATCAGAAGTAAGTCGATTTTTAAATATTATAATATTTTATTGTTAGTAAAGTTATTTCTTCAATTCCCTCTGCTCACTTGTTTGCTTAGTTTTTAATTTACTGCTGTGTAGTTGGGTCGGTAATGTTCATTAAATTAGTTTACGATTGGTTGGTTAGTGTGAATCTGATGATGCTTTCCTTTCATCTTTATCTAATTTCAGGCAAATTATAATCTTTGCCAAGTTACTTCTTCCAATCAACTCAAAGTGTTTTTATCTAGAGATTAAAGTTTGTGGGCATTTACAAAGGTTGGTAAGCTCTCGCTAGTATGAATTTTAGTGAATTGAAGTTAATAAACGGAAAAACTAATTTGATCAATATTTTGTCCCTAAATTGGGCTAACCCGGTAAGTATGATACAGACTAAAAGGTGTCTCCTACGGTTAGGAGGGCAGGACACCATAATGTAATCAAAAATAAAGTTTATATATATATATATATATATATATATATATATATATATATATATATATAGGTAAAAAACTTGTATGAGACCGTCTCATGAGTCTTAATTCGTGAGTCAGGTCGGATATTTGATTAATAAAGTCAAAGATTTGACTTATTAATTAACTTACCTCGCAGCATGAGACCCATAAGACGATTTTACACTAGTGTTACCCATATATATTAGCATATTTTCTAAAAGATACATTTATGTTTCATTAAAAGTAAAAACTTTAGTATTAATTTATATATATATACGCTCTTTGCTAGCTGTACACTCTTCTCTTTTCATCATATGTCCTAATCTTATCCTAATCTTATAACTTGGTAACACTTGTGATACACCATATCATTGATAAGGATTTGTGAAACACGATGAGTCATTAATATTGAAATGTAATATTTATACTGAAAAATGTAATATTAATAAGAAATAAAATGTTTCTTACTTATAAGATAAAATGTAAAATATTATATTTTCTTTCAAAAATATTATACATTCTCATATAAGTAATAAACAATTTATTCCTCATCAGTATTACATTCTCCAATACAAATATTACCTTTCCTTCATGACCAACTCAATCAACAAGGATCCGTGAGACAGTCACATACAAGTTTTTGCCTTATCACTTACTTTGTTTTTTATTATGATTGACAATATATATATATATATATATATATATATATATATATATATATATATATATATATATATATATATATATATAGGGAAGGAATCAGGTGCATTTGTTGCTTCCCGTGCGGTTGTGCGGTGGATTAATGTGTTTGAGGTTTATACTTAATGTGCGTGAGTGTTGTGCTTAATGTGCCTGAGATTTGTACTTAATGTGCGTGATGTTAATATGCGTGAGTTTTGTACTTAATGTGCCTGAGTATTGTACTTAATATGCGTGAGATTTGTGCTTAATGTGCGTGAGTAGTTCAGAATTACGAGCTCAGAAAGAAGCAGAACAGAAAACTCACGCAAATTAACGCCCAAGCTTCTTGTTACTTCTTCCTTCAATTTGTCCATGGATTCCGGATTATCAGCTACCTTCAGTACAATTGAATGTTTATATATAGGGAAAATTGTAATTTATGCCCCTCACAAATATGTCAATTATCAATGTCACCCCTGAATTATCAGTGGTGTAAATGTTGCCCCTCAATTTTCAAAACGTGGCATATATTGCCCCTCCCCTAATATGAAGAATGAGAAAAATTGTTGTCGATGGAAGGAGAACAATCGAAGAAAGAAAAATTGAGGAAAAAAACATGGTCTTCGAACAAGAAAGACGACGGGTAATCACATTTACATCACTAATAATTTAGGGGATGGGCAATATATGTCACGTTTTGCAAATTGAGGGGCAACATTAACACTACTAATAATTCAGGAGTAACATTGATAATTGGCATATTTGTGAGGGGCATAAATTATAATTTTCCCTTATATATATGACGCACGCACAGCAAAATTTGCACACTAGCTAAGTGTGGGTTTCTATTGTATTATTCTCATAATTTTTAATCACCATAGCTCGCCTCTGCATCATCATCATCATCAGGGAGGGGGCAATGGCTACTGGGGATGGGGATGAAGCTGATATCCATATTTTCTGATGCATTTTACACATTCACGCACATTAAGTACAAATCTCAGGCACATTAAACACAACACTCACGCACATTGAGTACAAATCTCACGCACATTAACCGCACAGCCGCACGGGAACCGTTAACTATATATATATATATATATATATATATATATATATATATATATATATATATATATGTGTGTGTGTGTGTGTGTGTGTGTGTGTGTGTGTGTGTGTGTGTGTGTGTGTTTCTAACCAAATCTTATAATTCTAGACATAATACAACGCATTTGAGATTAGAAAGATGCCAAACATCTCTGATAAAGTCGTGGGTTTCAAGAATGAAGCAGAAACAATCATAAATCAGCTTATTAAAGGGTCAAAGGAGAGAGAAGTTGTTTTAATTACAGGCATGAGTGGATTGGGAAAGACAACTCTGGCTAGGAGAGTGTATGAAAAGGAAAATGTAAAAATCTACTTTGACAACCGTGCATGGTGTATAGTTTCTCAAGAATATGATTACAAGAACTTGTTGGAAGAAATATACCGTCAAATATGTGGTAGGGATTTAGAGATTGGCAATGTAGCTGAAGAGCTTCGCAAACGTTTGATGGGAAGGAGATACCTCATAGTGTTGGATGATATTTGGAGTGTTGAAGCATGGGAAGAGTTAAGTAGAGTTTTTCCCTCATGCGACAATGGAAGTAGAATTGTTTTAACAAGCAGAGAAGAAAGTGTGGTTTTTGATGCCAAACATATTTGTCGTCTTCCTTTCTTCACTATTGATGAGAGTTGGGAATTATTGCAAGTGAAGTTATTTAAAGGGAAGGAATGTCCTAAAGAGCTTGAAAGTATTGGCAAAAAAATATCTAAAAAGTGTGTGGGGCTACCGTTGGTAGTTAGTTTGGTAGCCGGGATTCTGGGAGGAGTTGAAAAGAGTGAACAAATGTGGTGTGAATTTCTTCTTAATTTAAACTCACATGTTACATTTGGAGACAAAATACAGAGCAATGTTGCGATAGAGCTTAGTTACAAGCATTTATCAGATCCTCTGAAACTATGCTTACTTTACTTTGCAGCATTCCCAGAGGATGAAAGAATTGAAGTTTCCTATCTAATAAAACTATGGATATCTGAAGGGTTCATAGACATTAAGGAGGAGGAGAGAGTAGAAGACACGGCAAAGTATTGCTTGAACCATCTGGTTGGCAGTAACTTAGTAATGGTTTCTAAAAGGAAGTACGATGGTGGCATCTTATCATGCGTTGTTCATGATTTGATACGTGATTTTTGCTTAGCAAAAGCTAAAGAGGAAAATTTCTTGCACATAATTAAGATGGAAGATAAGTTGAATCCAACTCTGGAATTTACTCCACAGCGAATATCTTTCCATAGATATGGTGATAATGAGATTCCTAATGAATTGGTACCATGGAATTCTTCTATTCGCACACTTTTGAGTTACCCAAAGCTCAGAAAAGGTGTTTGGAGAAATTACATAGAGCTGCACAGAATAAGTGGTGCAAAGGTTTATAATGGTTCATGGGTTGCGGAAAAATTTGAACATCTCACAATCTTGGATTTAGAGTTTATTGGTGTGGATAAATTAATTTTATCTGAAATTAACTCACTAATTCATCTAAGATACCTAGCTCTCTATCTATGTGGATGTGGTTCTGTCTCACCATTGTCACTGAAGAATCTTGAGGGTCTCATAACATTAAAGTTGACTTCACTGAAGGATTTGCATTTGCCAAAATATTTTTGGAATATGAAAAGTTTGAGACATATGATTATCCACCACTATTGTTGTTATTCATGCCCAACAGTAGCAACTCCAGTTATTGAAACAATTTCTGGTTTAGAAGTCTTACAGACCTTAGATTTGACAACTTCTTTGGGTACAAGGGATGAGCATTTATTGAGGAAGCTTTCCCATCTCAAATATTTGAGATGTCTGGTCTCGCCATCATGTTCATTTGCTGAAATTGACATTCTCGATCATCTTGAATCTCTTTCGTTATACAATAGTTGGAATAGGGATTCACATGACTGTGGGAATCCACATCTTCTTAATGATCTTAAACTCAGCAAGTTTCCATCAAGTATTAAGGAAATAAATTTCGAGGGTATTACACTTTCGTCGTCAGCAATTTCAATAATTGCACAACTCTCCAATCTTGAGGCTCTAATACTAACGTGTTCCAAGTTTGAGGGTTTAGAATGGAATGTGGATGAGGAAACCCGATTCCCCAAACTAAAATACCTCCAACTATTTCATCTTGATATTGGAATTTGGAATATTTGCAGTGCTGAGTCTTTTCCTTGCCTTGAGCAAGTAATTTTGGATTTTTGTATCGAGTTACAGGAGGTGCCTGATACATTGGCAGATATTTTAACATTGAAACTACTCAGTGTGCGTAGCTGCTGTAATAGCACTGAAAGTTCAGCGAAGAAAATTGAGGAAGATGTACAAGGCATAGGAAATGAGCAACTGAATATCGAGATTATATCACGTAAGTGAAATGTAATATATATATATATATATATATATATATATATATATATATATATATATATATATATATATATATATATATATATATAATAGTAAGGTTCGAGAACACTTGCTTAAGTAAGAACGTGAGAAGAAATTATGTGCATCCATCTAATATTTTGTAATGGTCTAGATTATTAGATTAAATGTGTGCAAACACACTTAATCTAATCTAGACTATTAAAAAATATTAAATGGATGCACACGATTTGTTCTCACGTTCTCACCTTAACAAATGTTCTCATGTGATTATATATATATATATATATATATATATATATATATATATATATATATATATATATATATATATATATATATATATATATATTTGTGTGTGTGTGTTTGTAGAAGAATCAATTAAATGCATTTCTACTTTTGGTGTTGTGCGTGGGGTCCTACTAAGTTTCTTTATTTGTTTTTCAAAATTATTGACAGGTAATTCAGTGTCAGAGTGTAGAGTTATAAGATTGGCTCGTTTTAGAAGACAGATTAAAGGTAACAATTAAGTAAAGAAGTGTGATTGTCAGACTGTGTGAGCAGTAAAGCAGTTTGATGTGTGAATTACGTTATTACAACTTATTATCACTTCTATATCATATTAGTAGTCCGTAACAACTTTTAAACTAACCCATTCATCTAGGATGATAAAAAGTTAAAAATTAAATTTTAAAAAATGTTGTAAAATTTTCGTAATTATGATTGTTCATTTGGAAATATTTGACAGTGCATCAATAGATAACTGATAATACACTCAAGATGCATCAATGGATAACTGACAATACACTACTATTTATCTCTAAATGCACTGTCATGCATTTCTAAATGAACTATCTTGTTACAAAAATTTTCACAGTATTTTTTTTCATTTTTATTAATTTTCAGCGCTTAATTATCTTAGATCTATGAATGGAATTAGTCTACAAGTTTTCACGAAACTAATCTATTTTTTATCACTTCTATATTTTGAAATGTATGTATGTTGTTTAATTTTGTTTGCTACATATATTATGTATACAATCAAACCAGCTCTTGCTTTTTCATTTATTTTGTAAAAAATAATTTTAATTTTTTTTAAAATTTGATATTTTATGTTTAATAACTAGTTTTTTACGCGCATTGCACGATTGGGATAATGCCTAATGTTTTTTTTATTTAAATAAGTACTTTTAAGTAAATCAAGACAATATTATATTGGAATTGTTCATGCATAGATAATTGAATGTTAAATTTGTATAGGTATGGTTGAAACGAAATACGGGACATAAGGGAGAGCAAATAAAAATTAGGGCATAAAATATTAAATATATACTAATATTGAAGAGCTAAATGCTGATTGTCAAACAAGGACATTGCGAGATAGTTTTCCACTTCAATTGTTGTGTGATTTGAATACCATTTTTGTCAATAAATCCCCAATTAGTTAATATGATTGGCTTAATTATATATTTTTATTTTTTTATTTTTTAAAACAATTATTATTATTATTATTGTTGTTGTTGTTGTTGTTGTTGTTGTTGTTGTCGTTGTTATTATTATTATTATTATTATTATTATTATTATTATTATTATTATTATTATTATTATACCCTTAGGTCATTTTACATGTTAATCTAAACAGATTTTTTCAAATATCTTTTTACTAATCGTTGATATAATTTACTGGTCAAATTCGCTAATATAATCCGCTAACGCTAACTGCTAACTACTGATTGTTAAACAAGGACGCGCCATTGGGAGGTAGTTCTCACTCCAATTTGTTGTGTGATTTGAATACTCTCTTTGTCAACAAATCCTCAAGTAGTTAATATGATTGGCTTTATTAATTATATTTTTTTAATTTTTTCATGGTATTAATAAAATACTTGGTAAATAAATATATAACATTATTTTGTATTATAACTTTGATATTTAATTAAAAAATAGTGCACAAAAAAAAAAAGATAATAGGCAATGTAGTGAATATAATCAATTGATGAATTTGAATGTAAATAATTTTTACATTAGAGAAATATAAAGACAATATAACTAATAAAATGATTTCTCTTAATTAATTTATTGAAAATGAATAATTTTGTTTAATAAAGACATTGTAGGGACAATGTAGCGAATATAATTAATTGATGAATTTGAATGTAAAGAATTTTTATATTGGAGAAAAATAAATACAATATAACTAATGAAATTATTTCTCTTATTTAATTTATTGATAATGAATATTTTTTTTTTTGAATAAAGACATTGTAGACATATAATTCTAAATTAAAGAAATGTATATGTACTATTTTTATGTTGTAGCTACTAAATTATTATTTAATTTAATTTAATAAGAGTAAAATTGAGTAATAATTATGCCAACTTTGATTGGGATGAGGTTCGAACCTAAGACCTTTCTTATTGAAATCAATAAGTTAACGGTGAACTAACAGAAAAAATAATATTTAACGGAAAAGTTAAGGGATAATCATATTCATTAAGGATAAATTAGGAAATCTTAAGGAAAAATTAAAATCTGATCAATCTGAGCCATTCATTTGATTAAAAAATTTGACCGCCATTTTTTCTACCCATTATAGGCTTAACTCTATTGGGCTCTTATTAGTATATATATATATATATATATATATATATATATATATATATATATATATATATATATATATATATATATATATATAGAGAGAGAGAGAGAGAGAGAGAGAGAGACGAGTTCAGGTGTGGCAGTGTCTTACGGTGCGGCAACACCAATAGTTCAACAAATATGCACCATCAACGTTAGGAAAATACACCACACAAAACAGAGTAAACAGAGCCCTGCATCACCAAACACACACCATTAGGTGTAAGTAAAAACACCATACACTGTTCGGAAATACACCATTGGGGGTGTATTTTTTTGAGTCTGTTGTGTATTTTGTGATGTTTTATTGCATTTCATTGTGGTGTGTTTTTATTACACTGTTGGTACATATTGTTAACACTGTTGGTGGATTCTGGAATTCCGCCGCACCGCCGCACGGGAAGACCCCGCCGCATTTGAACTTTATTCTATATATATATATATATATATATATATATATATATATATATATATATATATATATATATATATATATATATATATATATATATATATATATATATATAGTTTTAAAATATATAAATTTTATTCATTAATACTAAATTAAATATTGTACAAATTAAAATTAAACAAGCAATTGCAACCATGCATTTTAGAGCAAGGATATATACAAGCATTCTTATTTCGTTTTAGCATAATTTTTCTAGCTTTATATTTATATATATACGGTATAAAATTTAAGCACATTGATCACTATTATATTCTTTAACTTTTATAAACTTTAGGCATTTTTAATCAATTTATTTATTAAAATATTTGAGTGGTCGCCTTTGATTGGGACTAAACAAGGGTAGCTAGTATCATACAATTATATTCTTTTTAAGTAGATACTTTGACCAATACATTTTCAAAAAAAAAAAAGATACTTTGACCAATACTATTACTAGCGAGGCTTGTTTGCAAATTGCTTTAAATAATGCATTTGGTGCGTGGAGTCCTATTGAAACCTCTTGTTTGGTAAAATGGTTGGCAGGCATGTTGGCAAACCAGGCTAAGGGGAGGCCGGGCAACAGAAATGGCTAAGGGGATCGGAGGGCAACAGAAATTGCGGAGTGTCAAACAAATAAACAACTATTAAAATATTGGAGTTTGTCAGTTCTAACTTTTTTTTTTTTTTTTTTTTTTTTTTTTGGTTCTAGTTGTGTGTGGAATTATTGAATAAGTGAAATATTTCAATATCAAGTATCTACATAGTTAGTAATTTAAATATCTCTATCTCATCTTGTATTCAACATCTTTCTTTTTTTATATAAATTTCAATGGTTTATCTTTAAAAAGAATCTCTTTCGAATAAAAATACAATAAAAAAAATCAAATTTATATATGTTACGTTGTAAAAAATAGCTAAAATGACATTTATTAACATGACATTTTGAGTAAGGTTTACTTTTTATTTGAGTCGGATCAAAACAGATTCGAAATCTCTTAGTTTAAAAGATAAATTTAATATATTATATGATCAAAATGTATAATGATGAGTAAATAAGAAATTGATTATCAAAGTGTACCAAGTTGAAAAAAATGGAGTTTGGAAAGAGTTTTAAATAGGCTTTGTCCTATATTGGAAACTGGAAAGAGATATAAGTTTGCACTTGTATAAATAAAATTTAATTTTTAAAAGAGTTTAAATTGTGTAGTATGGAGACTTTCTCGACAATTTATATCATGGATTATGGTCCACATAACATTATGGACCTTGAATCAAAATGACAAGATACAGAATTCATATTCATCAGGTACAAAATTTCATAACACAATACACAAAAAAACCACAACACAAGACACATACAGATATTATATATTTACTTATTTTTCAAATATGATTTAGATACATAATGTGTGTTCGTAGACACAAAATTCACAACACAAGACACAAATATTCATAACATAAAACACAATTACTAATTTATTTCAGGTACATAATTCAACCTTTTAAGGTACAAAATATCATAACACAAGACACGAAAACTCATAAAATAAGAATATAAGACACATACACATGCATCAGGATCCACAGTGCACTGTGAATCCTGATCCATGGTATAAGGCTTGGAGTCTCTCACACTTCCTAATCGATCATAGTACTCCCCAGCCATTATATTATGGAAAATTCATGATGTACAATATTATAGTACAAAAGTCAAAAGAAATTGACCCTAGCTACTAATTAACAACAAATATTCTATCATATCATAAAAAATTAAGCAAAATTTTGTGGCAGGTAATAATAAAGCGAATCAATATCAAATCATCACACTAAATAATAAAGTAATCACTATTCAAAGGAACCACCTTCTTCATCATATTTAATTTGCAAAGCCAATATATGAAACTACAAGAACTTGTAATCAATCACAGTTCACACTACCTCTACGTCGGTATCTTCATAGAAATGAAAACGCAAATATCTATTTAAAGCCAATATTATATTAATGAGTATATAGCATTTGGAGTTAAATATTTGGGTGGCTTCTGCAACTTGCACCACTAATTCAGACGTTAGTACTATTAATTACTTGTCGTAGTTGAAGCTAAGTTAGATAACCACAAAATGATGGCAATTACTCTATCGTCAAATTGAAATTATTCATACCGTGGTCAGCATGTCAAGACATTAATCTAGTGAATGAGAAATTTCACTTTTTGCTTAAGGTGATAGAGTGGAAGAACAAATCCTACCATGAATATTAAGCACAAAAATGGAGTGAATTCCTTTTTTGGTCCTATTGTTATAGGGGTGTTTCCAATTTTAGTCCACCTTATTTTTTTTTTTCCACTTTACAACCACTGTTATTGAATGTGTTCCACTTTTAGTCCATCGTTAATATTTCCGTCAAGAGGCTGTTTAATTCAGGGGTATTTTGGTCTTTTTATGGTTGTCTCTTCTCTTTTAATCCAGGTGCTTCGTCCTCCTCCTCCGATATTCGAAGATGGCTCTTCAAACAACGAGAATGTGAAGCCAAAGCTACATCTTTTCGTTCGTTCCAACGTGGGCCGGCGAGGTTTCTTAGGTTTTAGGTTTAATGTTCTCATTTCTTTTAGTCAAACATAGTCTTGGATGAGAAGAAAGATCAAAATACCCCTAGATTACACGGTCTCTTGATGAAAATATACTAACGGTGGACTAAAAATGGAACACATTCAATAATAGTGGTCATAAAGTGGCAAAAAAATTAAGGTGGACTAAAATTGGAAACACCCATATAACAATAGGACCAAAAATGGAATTCACTCCACAAAAATGTATCAAATCATCTTGTTTATAATTTTTCAATAAATTTGGTGGTTGCATTTATTTCATAATAGTAAATTTTATCTGAATTGATAGCCCATGAAAATATGCAATGCAAATAATAGAGCGGCATAATACAAATAGTCAATTTGAATGTTTAAACACATTCAACCATATTTTACAATAAAATATTATAGTGCTTCCATCAAAATCCGATTAAAAAACGTGCACGAATTCTTGGAAAAGTATAAATTAATTTGTTATCATATTATACAAGCAAAGACTTACACTATTTATAGAAACATTATATTAGTTCGGGTGAACAAATATTTTAAATTTTCATTACTATTATTATTATTATTATTATTATTATTATTATTATTATTATTATTATTATTATTATTATTATTATTATTATTGAGCTTCCAAGTCATCAAAACACATTAATGTAGCATCTCAATCACCTTTAACATGAAAGTACTCTATAATAATAATTTAAGGGTTTAATTAAATTTTATTCCAATTACATATTTGATTAAAAAAAAAAAAAAAAAAAAAAAAAGCATCTCCTGTTAACAACTTTTGTTCACATGGGCTAAAAGCATGTTGTCTTCCACCCAATTAAAGACTCAAATCATTACTGACCAAAAAGCAATCACTCATCACATAAAGCCTTTCTCCCTCAATTATCTGTACCCATCTCTTCTCTTTTCATATAAAGCACTTCCTTCTTCTACCAAATACTCTCTATTCTCTGATCTCCATTTCCTTCCTCTTTTTCTACTTTAAGAAATCTTCAGTCTTCTTAAACATATTAATTGGATAGTCGCTCTGAAATTCAATTCTCTGCCTATTCACTTACAGGTCGAATCAGAGGTAAGTAGTACGTTTTTGAAATATAATGTTATATTGTTAGTAAAGTTACTTCTTTCCTCACTTGTTTGCTTAGTTTTTGCTCTGTAATGTTCATTATTAGTTTAACAATGGTTACTCTGAATCTGAGGATCTAATGCTGGTCTATTCAGTCCTTTGATGTTTGTCTAATTTGAGACAAGCACGGGCTATATATATATAAAAGAAATTAATTCCATCTATTTGAACAACGGTTATAAAATAAAATTTTAAAAAAAATGTCATATGCAAACACTGCACAATGCAGCGTTTGCAAAAATAGCGGTTTGGAGCAATCCACTGCTCCAAACTGCCATGTTACCAAACATGAAATTTGGCGTTTTGACTTCAGTCAAAACTCAAAATGATGGATTTGTCATTTATCAAACAAGCCCTATGTATGAGATAAAATTTCTCTATATTTTAACTATTATTTCAAAATGTTAATGAGAGTTTACAAGATGAATATTTATATATAACAACAATTGAGATTTCAATCATATACATAAGGAAAACTTATGATCGAATTCATATGTTATAACATAATTGCATAACTTTTTAATTACTATTCAACAACATCAGTCGACTTATTATAATCATGTTACTTTTAACAAAAAAAAAAAAATAGATATGTTTTACTGACTCATCATCAATATTGCATATAAGAATGCTTAATTTATTTTAATATGAAAGTTGTTAAAAAAATCATTTTTATTCTCGATTATAACTATCTACAACAACACTCATATTTACTATTACTTTTATTACAAGTTGGAAATATTAATTTTGATTACATTGAATATAATTATTTATTAAATTATTTGAAAAGTGTATTAAGTATTTACATATTTGGAATAAGGGTCAATAAGCAATCAACTGCACACCATAATGTAATTAGGTCACTGAACCTAAAAAAAAAAAAAAAAAAAAATACAATTGAATCCCTAAACTAACATATTTCGTGCAAAACCTCTAATTTTTAGATTTTTCAGGTTTCTAACAGGTCATTTCGAATATTTTTTTTAAAAATAATTATTTAATATTAAAATTAAAATAAAATAAAATAAAATAAAACAACACTTCATTCTTTTCGTCTCCGGTAGGTGACCTTCGTCTCCATCGCCGGAGACGAAGAATCTTTTCGTGACGAAGGGTTTCTTCGTATGGGTGAAACAGATCCAAATTCTTCATTTCAACATCTGCGTAAGCTTGGTTGAAGTTGACCTCACAATTGGGTAATAAGTGGGTGATAATGGATCACTTAAATAGTATTTATTTTGGGGTTTAGGTGATCGATCGGGTTTAAGTGGTCCAACCGGAGGTAGGCGGTTCAACCGGATTCTCATTTTTAGGTATCCATCAATTATTATTATTGTAGTAACAGAAGAAAACTCCGAAATCTAATGGTGGGATTAGCAAGTCTAACTTGGACATGGGCAACCAGTGCTCGTACGCGCCCAGCCTTGCCTTCACCACTTCCGCGCTCTTCATCGTCACCACAAAATCGCAGTGGCAGGAGACCAAGATACCTTCTTCGTCGGCGTAGACAGAGAGAAAAACAATGTTCTGTTTTTTTTTTTTAATTAAATTTTCTAAATTTTAAATAATTATTTTTTAAAAAATATTTTTAAAAAATATTTGGGTGACATGTTAGAAACCTGAAAAACCTAAAAATTGTATGAAATAGGTTAGTTTAGGGATTCTATTACAATTTTTTTTTAGGTTCAGTGGCCTAATTACATTATGGTGTGCAGTTCGATGGCTTATTTGACATTTATTTCTAGTTATAGGGGAGGTTATGGTCAAATAGACCCTCAAACTATATATCTAAGTGCAATTAGGCCCTCGAACTAAATAAACAACCAATTAAACCCTTGAACTTGTTAAAACAATGCAATTAACACATTTTACGGTCAAACGGTCAAAGTACATATGAGGTCATTGTACTGTAAAGTACATATGAGGTCCCTGTACTGTAGTGTTTTGTTCAATTGAGTCCTTCTACCTTAATTTTGTTCAATTTAGTCCCTGTACTTAAAAAAGTGAAACAATTAAGGACGATAGTTGATATTTATGTATTTATTTTAGACATATTAATGTAATATATTTGTGGTAAAAATAATTAATTTTAACTAATTTCAAAATAATATATGAGTTGGCATGTAATATAATGATGTGGCATATATGATGCCAACGCCAAATCAACTATTGTCCTTAATTGTTTCACTTTATAAAGTACAGGGACTAAATTGAACAAAATTAAGGTAGGAGGACTAAATTGAACAAAACACTATAGTACAGGGACCTCATAGATACTTTGACCCACATTTAACCTATAATAGTAAGTTATCTTCAAGTTACATTTTTTTTTTCTTCAAAAAAATAAAATAAAACAAAACCAGGGAAGCAGCAAGGCCATGATGGTTGACAGAGAAACGGATGGGCTTCTCCTTCAAACAGAAAAAATGCGCAGGCTTCTTTGTGTGTAGTTCAGCCAAGTGCGCAGGATTCTACGTTCAAATATAACATTAAAAAAAAAAAAAATAAATAAAAAATAAAAAAAACTACAACGCCATGGTAGCGGTCATTGTTGACAGAGAAGCCGGTGGGCTTCTCCGTTCAGTTCAGATGGAGAAACCCGCTGACTTCTCCGTTCAAATATAACATAAAATCAAAAAAAAAAAAAGAAAAAAAAAAACAAAAAACAAAACAAAACCAAAAAAAAAAAAAAAAAAAAAAAAAAACAAAAACATGCAACACAGGAAAGCCATGGCTGCCATGGTTGACAAAGAAGCCGACAGAGAAGCCGGCGGGCTTCTCCGTTTAGTTCAGACGGAAAAACCCGCTAGCTTCTCTGTTCAAATATAAGATAAAATCAACAAAAAAAATACTGAAACACACACCACAGGAAAACCACGGCACCAAACTGCCATGGTTGACAGAGAAGCCGGCGGGCTTCTCGGTTCATTCCAAAGAAGAAAAAAGTTGGTTTCTCCATTTAAATTTAACATAAATAATTATACTAAAAAACAAAAACAAGCCATCAACAATGTCATAATTGACGGAGAAGTCGCAGACTTTTCCGTCCAAATCTAAATGAGTAGCCATGGCTTCTCCGATGAGGAGCCAGCATCTCCGTTTAGTTTGGATGGAGAAATCGACCGGCTTCTCCATTCAAATCTAACGGAGAAATCGCTGGCTTCTCGTTCAATTTGGATGGAAGCACGCCGGCTTCTTCTTCCAATCTAACGAAGAACTGAAACCCGCGACTTCGCCTACCGTAACTACTTTTTTAGTTTTTTTTTTTTTTTTAATTATTAAATTGAAATGCCATGTCAAATGCCAAACAAGCAAAATTAAACATTTACCTTTTAGTAACCTATTAAATAGGTTAATTGTACTCTTTTAACAAGTTTAAGGGTTTAATTGGATGTTTATTTAGTCTGAGGGTCTAATTGCACTTTGATATATAGTTTGAGAGTCTATTTGACTCTTATCCCAAAAAAAATTATATGGGGCATTAACTTTTCTTTGCTAACAACTTTTCTTCACATGAGCATGATGCGCCCATACAATTGACCTCTATCCTCTAAAGTCTTCCCCTCAATCATTTAACACCAAAAATCAATTCTCTTTTCGTCATGTCCCTTATCAAATGCTTTGCCTCTCATAATTTTATCACTTTCTTACTTTAATTTGATCTTTAATTTTATTCTGATTGATGAAACATATTGAATATATTTTAACCAAACCCTGTAATTGTAGACATAATACAAGCTTTTCGAGATCAAACAAATGCCAAACATCTCTAATCCAGATAATGATATAGTTGTGGGTTTCAAGAACGATGAAGAAACTATCATAGAACATCTTATTTATGGGTCAGACGAGAGAGAAGTTATTTTAATTACTGGCATGGGCGGATTAGGAAAGACAACTTTAGCGAGGAGAGTGTATGAGGAGAAAAATGTAGTCAACTATTTTGATAAGCGTGCATGGTGTACTGTTTCTCAAGAATATGATTGTAAGAACTTGTTGAACAAAATATATAACGATGTTTGTGGCCACAAGACGGAGATTGACAGTATAGCTGAAGAGCTTCGCAAAAGCCTTATGGGAAGGAGATACCTCATAGTGTTGGATGATATTTGGAGTGAGAAAGCATGGGAAGAGTTGGATAGAGTTTTTCCCTCATGTGACAATGGAAGTAGAATTGTTTTAACAAGCAGACAAGAAAGTGTGATTTCTAATGCCAAACATATTTGTTTTCCTTTCTTCACTATTGATGAGAGCTGGGAATTATTGCAAGTGAAGTTATTTAAAGGAAATGGATGTCCTGAAGAACTTGAAAATGTTGGAAGAAAAATATCTAAAAAATGTGGGGGATTACCTTTGACAGTTGGTTTGATAGCGGGTCTTCTTGAAAAAGTTGAAAAGAGTGAGCAAATGTGGTGTGAATTTCTTCTAACTCTAAACTCACATGTTACATTTGGAGACAGAATACAAAGCAATGATGCGATAGAGCATAGTTACAAGTATTTATCAGATCATTTGAAACCATGCTTACTTTACTTTGCTGCATTCCCAGAGGATGAAGAAATTGAGGTTTCGAAACTAATAGAACTATGGATATCTGAAGGATTCATCATAGGAATGACAGAGCAAGGGAGAGTAGAAGATGAAGCAGAGGATTACTTAAACCATTTGGTTAGTAGTAACCTAATTATGGTGTCTAAAAAGAGTTATGATGGTTGCATCGTAGAATGCACGGTACATGATTTGGTACGTGACTTTTGCTTAACAAAAGCTAGAGAAGAAATTTCCTTGGAGATAATTAATATGGAAAAAGAGTGGGATCCAACTCTGAATTTTACCCCACATCGAATATGTTTTCATATGCATTCCACATATGATATTGCTTCTGAATTGGTACCATGGAATTCTTCTACTATTCACACAGTTCTAGTTTTCCATTATTCACCCTTTTATAATGCCTCATGGATTGCTAAACAATTTGAACATCTCACAATTTTGGATTTAGAGGCAATTCGTGTGTACCAATCATTTTTGTCTGAAGTTAGCTCACTAACTCATCTAAGGTATCTAGCTCTCAAAGTAGATGGAAATCGAAATGATGATGCAGATGTCTCACCATTATTACTACGGAATCTTAAGTATCTCATAACATTAAAGTTGCGATCAGAAGCAGTGCATTTCCCAATTTTTTTGGGGAATATGAGTACATTGAGACATATGATTATTACTGGTGGTGGGAGTTGCAATAAGTCTTGCATGGAGAAATCAAGATCAGTTATTATTGAAGCAATTCCTGCTTGTTCAACAGAATTGCAAACCTGGGTTTCGAAATGTTCTCTCACTCCAATGCATGAAGATTTATTGAGAAAGCTTCCCTATCTCAAAAAATTGAGTTGTGTGGTCTCAAGTTCTGAAGGCTTTCCTGAAATTGACTTTCTCCATCATCTTGAAACTCTTGAGTTATTCGGTGGTGATTATGAAAGTTTTCCACTCAGCAAGTTTCCATCAAGTATTAAGGAAATATGTTTGAATGATATTACTCTTTCGGTGTCTGCACTTTCAACAATTGCACAACTTCCTAATCTTGAGAGTCTAATACTATTCTATTGCAAGTTTGAGGACTTTGAATGGAATGTGGAGGAGGAAACCAAATTCTCCAAACTCAAAATCCTCCAATTAATTTTTCATGATATTAAAATTTGGAATATTAGTTGTGCTGCTGAGTCCTTTCCTTGCCTTGAGCAATTAGTTTTAGCAGACTGTCAGAACTTACTACTGATGCCTTCTAGTTTTGATGATGTTTTAACATTGCAAACGATTTGTGTGTTCAATTGCAATCACAATGTTAAAAGTTGGGTGAAGAACATTGTGGAATCTGCACAGGATATAGGAAACGAGCAACTCAATGTCGAGGGACTCGGTAAGTGAAATTAACTAACTTAATTTTTTACTTTAATTTTCTCATGATCATTTTTGACTTAGTGTTTAAATTGGCATGTTTGTACAATATTGATGAATACAAAATTGAGTTATATTATGAGTTGGTCATATAAAAACTTTCATAAAAACATGGCTTTATACATCCTGTGGCTTTCATATTGTTTCTCTCATAATAGTATATGTACAAATCACTTTTTTTTTTTTTGGGTGGTACATAACAGAGTTAGGATTATATATATTTTAAAGAAAAATGTTATATTCTATTACTAAGTTTGCATTGAAAACAGTCTAGACAAAACATGCAAAATGCTTTTGGTGTGTCAAACTGTCAAGAGTCCTAGTAAATCTCTTTTCTTGTTTATTGAAATTATAGACAGGTTTCTTGGATCAACTCTGAGCATGAGTCCAACTTTGTGAATGAGACTTGAAATAAATTCAAATTAGTAGCAGATGCCGGCCTGGATGAGGAAATTTGATGGAGGAGAAAGAGAGCAGGAGTGTGACCAAAGTGATGCATAGAGTAATCACAACTTGATATTACTTTAATGTTTTAAATTTGAATAATAATATTAATATTGTCTTACTATAACTCTTCTAAATTTGAATAATAATATTAATATTGTCTTACTATAACTCTTCTAAATTTGAATAATAATATAAATATTGTCTTACTATAACTATTTTCTTTATATTTACTCTGTACGCGCATTCTCTTCGAATATAATACTTAGAATCCTTCTGCTGAAATATTTGAGTGTATAAAACAAAATTTTAAATGTATTGGATTAATACTAAAATTCCCCTACAATTCTTTAAAAAAAAAAAAATCAAAAGGCAATACTTTTATTAAATCAAATAGGTAATACAATAAGTAATATAATAAAACCAACAGCAAAAACCAGTTTGAGAACGAGACTCCCTAGTCAACGCATAGGCAAGTCTTATTCACTGATCTAGAGATGAACTTAAAAGACACTGTTTCAAAGTGTCTTAAATATTCCTTGTACTCCCTGATCACGCAGCCTGCATAAGAGTAGTCCGTTGAGTAGCCATTAAGGAGGTTGCACACGAAGTGGCAATCAGATAGAACCATAATTTTTGCAAAGCCTGTGTCTTTTGTCCACGATATAGCTTGTTCAACATCAGCAAAGACAGCCGCATCAACATGTATAGGAAGCACATTAGTGCTTTTTTTTTTTTTTTTTTTTTTTTTTTTTTTTTTTTTTTTTTACCAACTTTAATTTGGTTGTGTTTGTACTCAAACATTAAGAGGTTTACTTTTGAATCTCACTGTTGGATTTGATTCATATAGTAGCGTTTGTTTAGTATTTTTCAATACTTTATATTCGGATTCAAATATTGAAAAAAAAATGAAAATATTAATTCCGGCCTCCCAACGAATAAGATAAGATTAGGAGTTGTTGGCATTGTTCCATGGTCTAAATGTGTCTTGGCAATCATTATTTTTTTTCTTTTTATGACTTTTTTAAAACCATAATTATGGATTGATGAACTACCATTAGAATTGGAGATGATTTCCACTTATTTCTAGAAAATATTGGCAAAAAAAGAGTCAAAAGTTAACATATTATCTTTCATATATAGAAATATTAGTCATTCAACTATGGATAATCTAAGAATTGAGTGAAGTTATGGTTCATATCTTTTGTGAACAAGAGTTCAGCATCGCAATAGGAGTTACATTTGAAAGCATGAACATTGCCAAAGTACAAGGGAGTCAGATCTTATTCTCAATACCATAGCACATCCAAAGTTCATGTTTTTAATTAAATTGCTTGTATTAAGTTTTAAAGTTTTTTTTTCTTTGCAATGATGGCATTGGGAACATTATTACTCACCTATTCCTAACTTTAATTTACGGGTAAGAGAGATCTTGATGTTTATTTAGAATGGGAGAGGAAGGTAGATAGAATTTTTTATTGCCATAACTATTCTGGAAGGAAAAAAAAAAATTAAGATGGTGATACTAGAATTTAGTGATTTTGCTACTTAGCACTTTGGTATAAAGAGGCGTTGGATATGAGAAGGAGTGGGGGTAGAGAGGTAAGGAGTCAAAGAGAAATGAAGGTGTTGATGATAAAGAAATGGGTCTCTACTTCATACCAACGAGAATCATATCAACAATAACAAGAACGAACTCGTTCAAAGTATATATATATATATATATATATATATATATATATATATATATATATAGAGAGAGAGAGAGAGAGAGAGAGAGAGAGAGAGAGATATTAGCGCTCAAATGCGGCAGTGGCTTTAGGTGCGGCGGTGCGGCCATATCACCATCGTCCATTCTGCTTAATCTAACCGCATCGGCTAATTTCTGAAGATTTAAAGATTTAAGCGCGTCCTGGTATATGGGGGGTGTTATGGTAATTGTAGTGGTCATTTATATCGGTCGCTTGTCAGAATACACCAACAGTGTTAACAAAAGACACCAATAGTATTAGGAAAAAGCACTACAATGAAATGCACAAATACACCAAAAAACACACAACACACCCAAAAAATACACCATATAACTCACCACTGCAATGGTGTATTTCTGAACCCTGTGTGATATGATGCTTTTATTCATACCTAATGGTGCGTTCTGGTGATGCGTATCTAATTTGTGCATGTTTTTTTAGTGTGCATTTTCTAACATGAATGGTGTATATTTGTATAACTATTAGTGCGCCCGCACTGACCGCATGAGAAGGCGCGGGCGCACCTGAACTTGGCACCAACACGAATCCTCAAATACACCACAGTAAGGTTAATAATGCACCAATAATGAACATAAAACACACAACACTATGATTTGATCTATTTTGGTGCCCAATGACGACTTTAACCTTGCAGTTCGCGTAGTGTGAGAACGTGCGCGAAAATATCAAAAAAGCCTTGATGAATGTAATTCGTTGGATTTATCTAATCTAATGGCCTACAATTAACCGCATCGCCGCACCTAAGTGCACTGCCGCACTTGAACCTTCCTCTATATATATATATATATATATATATATATATATATATATATATATATATATATATTGAAAAAATAAAAAAATTAAGCTAGTGCCTCGCAAATTCAACTGTTTAAACTTCTCGCTGTTTCAATTTATTTATGTATGATTATGTTCATTTCAAAAAAAAAAATGTATGATTATCTTAAATTAATAATAAAATTTCATTAATTTTATAGGAGTTGTTAGGGTAAATTCCACAATATACAGTTCGCCCGCTATTCAAAGAACGGTTCAGTAAGCTTTTTTCAAACAAAAAAAAAAAATCAATCAAATAAGAGCAAACGATTGAACAGCATCTCTGCAAACAACTTTTTTTTCACATGGGTCCACACAATTGACCTCCATCCTCTAAAGTTTTCCCCTCAATCATTTAACACCAAAAATCAAACTCTCATAAAATATAATCCTTAGTTTCTCCCTCCTTTATTCTCTTATCTCCATTTCTTTCCCTTTTTTCTACTTCAAGTAATCTGCAGTGTTGCTCTGAAGTTCAATTATCTGCCCAATCACTTACAGAGTTACAGATCATATCAGAGGTTAGTCGTTTTTGAAATAATAAGATTATATTATTGTTAGTATAGTTATTTCTTTCCTCACTTGTTTGCTTAGTTTTTGCAGCAGCCCCTGTATATATATAGACAAGTAGTTGATATGCCTCTGTAGTGTTCAGTAAATTAATTTATGAATGGTGGTTAGTGCGAATCTGAGGATTCTTTCCTTTCATCTTTGTCTAATTTCCGACAAATACAGGCAAACTATAATCTTTCACGAGTTAGTTCTTGCAATCAACCCAAAGTGTTCATCTCGAGATCAAATATAAACACTACAAGGGTAATTCTCAGTTCCTATAAAACACTATTTGTAATTATTTATTACTGTAAAAAGTTTCTCAATCTGTAAAACTTTATTTTATAAAAGATATATTTATATATACTTCCTAAAAAATAAAAACTTTAATATTACTTTATATATTCTCTGTGCTGACACTGTTCTGTTTTCGTCATGTCCTTTATTAGGTGCTTTGCCTCTCATAATTTTACCACTTTCTTACTTTGTTCTTTTATTCTGATTGATGAAAAACGTTGATATATTTCTAATCAAAACCTGTAATTGTAGACATAATACAAGCTTTTCGAGATCAAAAAGATGTCAAACACCTCTAATCCAGATAATGATATAGTTGTGGGTTTCAAGAAGGAAGAAGAAATAATCATAGATCAGCTTATTCATGGGTCAAAGGAGAGAGAAGTTGTTTTAATTAGTGGCATGGGCGGATTGGGAAAGACAACTTTAGCCAGGAGAGTGTATGAGAAGAAAAATGTAGTTAACCACTTTGACAAGCGTGCATGGTGTACTGTTTCTCAAGAATATAATTGCGAGGACTTGTTGAACAAAATATATAGTCAAGTATGTGGTAGTGAGATAAAGACGGGCAGTAGTGTATCTGAAGAGCTTCGCAAAAGTTTGATGGGAATGAGATACCTCATAGTGTTGGATGATATTTGGAGTGAGAAAGCATGGGCAGAGTTGAATAGAGTTTTTCCCTCATGCGACAATGAAAGTAGAATTGTCTTAACAAGCAGAGAAGAAAGTGTGATTTCTGATGCTAAACATATTCATCTTCCATTCTTCACTACTGATGAGAGCTGGGAATTATTGCAAGTGAAGTTATTTAAAGGCAAGGGATGTCCTGAAGAGCTTGAAAATGTTGGAAGAGAAATATCTAAAAAATGTGGGGATTACCTTTGACAATTGGTTTGATAGTGGGTCTTCTTGAAAAATTTGAAAAGAGTGAGCAAATGTGGCGTGAATTTCTTCTAACTCTAAACTCACATGTTACATTTGGAGACAGAATACAAAGCAATGATGCGATAGAGCTTAGTTACAAGTATTTATCAAATCATTTGAAACCATGCTTACTTTACTTTGCTGCATTCCCAGAGGATGAAGAAATTGAGGTTTCGAAACTAATAGAACTATGGATATCTGAAGGATTCATCATAGGAATGACAGAGAAAGGGGGAGTAGAAGATGAGGCAGAGGATTACTTAAACCATCTGGTTAGCAGTAATCTAATTATGGTGTCTAAAACGAATTATGATGATCGCCTCATATCATGCAGGGTTCATGATTTGGTACGTGACTTTTGCTTAACAAAAGCTAGAGAAGAAATTTCCTTGGAGATAATTAATACGGAAAAGGAGTGGGATCCAACTTTGAATTTTACCCCACAACGAATATGTTTTCATATGCATTCGAAATCTGATAATAATGCTTTTGAATTGGTACCACGGAATTCTTCTCTTCACACAGTTTTGGTTTTCCATCATCCTTATTCACCCTTTTATAATGCCTCATGGATTGCTAAAAATTTTGAACATCTCACAATCTTGGATTTAAAGGAAATCCATGTGGACCAATCATTTTTGTCTGAAGTTAGCTCACTAACTCATCTAAGGTAAATGTAGATGGACATAAAAATGATGATGTAGATGATGTCTCACCATTATTACTACGGAATCTTAAGTGTCTCATAACATTAAAGTTGAAATCAGCTGAGATGCATTTCCCAATATTTTTGGGGAATATGAGTACATTGAGACATATGATTCTTAATGGTGCCAGTTGCAACAAGTCTTGCATGGAGAAATCAAGATCAGCTATGATTGAAGCAATTCCTGCTTGTTCAAAAGAATTGCAAACCTGGGTTTCGGATTGTCCTCTCACTCCAATGCATGAAGATTTATTGAGAAAGCTTCCCTGTCTCACAAAATTGAGGTGTAAGTTCTCAAGTTCTGAAGGCTTTCCTGAAATTGACTTTCTCCATCATCTTGAAACTCTTGAGTTATCCAGTAGTATCTACCTTGGTGATTTTGAAAGTTTACCACTCAGCAAGTTTCCATCAAGTATTAAGGAAATATCTTTGGGTTATATTACTCTTCCGGTGTCTGTAATTTCAACAATTGCACAACTTCCCAATCTTGGGAGGTTAAGTCTAACCTATTGCAAGTTTGAGGGCTTAGAATGGAATGTGGAGGAGGAAACCAAATTCCTCAAACTCAAAATCCTCCAATTTTATTATGTTGATATTAAAATTTGGAATATTAGTTGTGCTTCTGAGTCCTTTCCTTGCCTTGAGCAATTATTTTTGGGATTATGTCGGAACTTACTACTGATGCCTTCTAGTTTTGATGATGTTTTAACATTGAAAAGGATCATTGTGAGAAGTTGCAATTCCACTGTTGAAGATTGGGTGAAGAACATTGAGGAATCTGCACGGGATATAGGAAACGATCAACTCAATGTCGATATATCCAGTAAGTGAAATTAACTGACTTAATTCTTCACTTTAATTTTCTTATTATTATTTTTGACTTAGTGTTTAAATTGGCATGTTTAGTTTCTACAACATAATGAATACAAAATTGAGTTATATTATGAGTCAATCATATAAAGGATTTCATCAAAACATGGGTTTTTACATCCTGTGGCTTTCATATTGTTTCTCTCATGATAGTTAATGTACAAATCACTTTGTTTTTGGGCTGTACATAATAGAGTTAGGATTATATGTTAAAGAAAAATGTTATATTATTCTATTACTAAGTTTGCATTGAACACATTTTAGACAAACATGCAAAATGCTTTTGGTGTGTCAAGAGTCCTACTAAATCTCTTTTCTTGTTTATTGAAATGATTGACAGGCATATGGCATCGTATCAACTCTGAGGATAAGTAAATATATGATAGTTCTGATTCAAACTGTGAGCATGAGTCCAACTTTGTGAATGAGACTTGGAATAAATTCAAATTAGTTGTAGATGCCGGGATGAGGAAATTTGATGGCATGTGTGCTAAAATAAAAAGAGGAGAAAGAAGGATGAGAAGGAGACCAGGAGTGTGGCCAAAGTGATGCATAGAATAATCACAATGAACACAATAGAGCTGATTGTAATAATTAATTATGAAATGGATAAGAGTAGATTTGATCGAATCATGTCATTCATGTGTCAGCTCCAGCAATAATTCTTGATTATTATTATTATATTATATAGTATACAGCATGCAGTAAATTAAGTTCAGTCCAAATACACAGCCTTAATTTTGTGAGCTCAATTCAACCAACCATGATCTAGACATGTGATCTCCTTCTTGTGCTTACTTGTTTATGACTGTGTACGAGGATGACATTTGACCTATTGATGAACAAAAGAGTATGTTCACAAATCACAAGAAATATCGACACATATTTCCAACCCAAAAACAAAATATTTGGTAATTTCTTTAACCGAGTAATCACAAATTAAATTAGATGGAAGAAGAAGGAGAAAAGAATGTGACTGAATTCACATTTTTGCTTGGCTTTGACAACTCTGGTTTTACAATTCAATTTAGTTTAACTATACTAGTATTTTTTTTTGAGATGATCAGAAAAATCGGCAGCTACAATACTATTATATTATACTACATGGATCAGTGGATGCTGGGTTATATGGACCGAGACCTAAGTATGTTGGCTATATGACCAAAACTTCAAACTCCAATAGTAAAAGGAGCAAATTCAAACCGTCTAAACACTATAACAAGTTAGGGAGTATGATTACTAGTATTAGTAGCGACAACTTAATTGGTTATTGAGTGGTAGATTGTGGATATAAATAAATGACTGAGCCTTGGCATCCTTAATGTGGAGTTTTACATAATCTGATGGGTCCTTATAGACATTAAACACTGATCCTCCCACCTAATGGGTCGCTAAGTCACCATAATTTACTTCATACTATCATGTGGGAATTGTTATTATTAATAGTTAGAAGCCAAATTAAAGGTAGAGCAGTTACTACTACTATTATTATTGTTATATATATCATATGTGTGTGGAGAGTATTTTGTCAGTTGAATGCTTATTGTTTTTTTATTCATTAAAATCCATTCAAGAATTATAATACAATTATTGAAATCTATTTCTTTGACGAACTAAATAATAAAATAAAATCTTTATTACATTCCTTGCTCTATTCTGTTCCTTATGTATGTATTCATATTCGCTTAAAATTTATTATGTAAACTAAATGTATTATAAACGATCCATACTTATTTGCGTTTGATTTTTTTTTAAATAATGATATTAAAAATTATCTATACAATAATGCAAGTTAATTAATCATTGTTATTACGTTAAAAGTTATAATAAGTAATATTTTTATTGCACAAAAATTTTATTTTATTTTTAGTCTAATAATCTAAAACAAATCATATTGTTGTTCGTAACGGTGTAGATGAATAGATATCCCGTAATTGTTTTTTACCAAATTAATAAACCGACCCAATAGAATCCAACTATGACTAGAGTGGAACGTTCAAAGTCATGAGCTAGCCTACCTTGACCATTGGAAATTCCATTTGATTTCTTCACATTATGGACCCCACCGCATGTCCACCTTTACTATAATCATTCATTTCCATAAGCATGGCTTAGAATATTGATGAATTTAAAAAAGAATTAGGATTTTTTTTTTTGAATGATACTGGCTCTATTACAATGTAGTATCTATATTCATATACTTTCTCAACATACTGAAACACAAAGAATCAATAGCGCCTCCACTGAAGCTCGAACTCAGAACCTTCTAAATAGAAGTCCAACTCGAATATCATTAGACCACATAGTCTTAGTGAATTAGGGTGTGTTTAGTTCATGGGTTTATATATTAAAAATTAAATTGAAATTATAATTAATGTTTAGTTGACAATTTTTTAAAATATAATTATGAAATTGGATTCAATCCTTTTCTAATTCCTTTCTATCAAATATTAGACACAAAAATCCAACCCATTCACATTTATGATGAATCATTTTTATAATTTGTATTTTGTTATTGGATTTTACTCAATAAAAGTAATATAGCATATAATAATACAATTATAAACCTCTTTGAATCAATCAATGTTACAATACAATTTAAGTGCACTTGATTTGGTCAATGTTATGAGATTCTCAATTTCACATTCTTATTTAAAAATTGTCTCACATTATGTCCTTGCAAATAAAAGTGTTTTAGACCCAAAAAAACAAAGAAAGAAACAAAGAAAAAACAAACAAACAAACAAAAATAAAGAAAAAGCAAAACAAAACAAAACAAAAGACAAAAAAAAAAAATTAAAAAAATTAAAAACCACATTATATTCTACGGAGTATTTGGCTATATATCACTACAACTATATTCTAACAATTATCTGTGAGATCTAAATATGATCTAACTATATACAGAATAATCTACGAGAAACTAGCGGAAGCGGAAGATCTCTAGCCAGGGTTAGCCATTTTGTCTCATACTTGACTCCGAACCCTAGATGGTGTATTGATATTTTCTGAGCTAAGTACCATATAATGAATCATGTATCTTGTATCCCATCAATACAAGCTTTATATAGGCACATTGGTGGAATACAGACTTAAACCTAAAGGTCCAACCCAACCAATTACTTAATGGGTCTAGTCCACTTGCACCACATAAGTAAGACCCATAATATATAATATATATTATACGGGAAAGTCTTACATTATCTACATACATATTTATTCATTATTATGATTACATGCATTCATTATTATTTTCTTTTACTTATCACAATCTTCTATCTTTTCTACTCACATTTATTTATATAAATATAATTATTTGCTTATGTTTAAAATTAGACATTATTCACATTATCGCAATTAAAACTTGAACTCTTCGCCAGGTTTTAGATTTTGATTGAACTCAATAGGTTATTGAATTGGTTCAAATATTTTTAGTTATGTTATATCGTAATATAAATTTCGCCCCGATATATATTAGACTTCAAATTAAATAAAAATTATATATATACATTTCATTCAAGTAAATATATCCAAAATATTATAAATATTAGTTCAAAAATATTAATATTATCTAAACTAAATTTTACGTGAACTTAACATGTTATTGGGACAGATATATTTTGGTTTTGTTATATACATATATAAAAGAGTATATAAATACTCAAATCACAAGAAATGTCAAAAAATTTCAAAGCAAAAAAGGCATGTATATCATCAAGGAGTAAAACTCTTCTCATGTGTCTTTATGAATCTTTTCCACTTGTATTTAATTACGTAAACTCATTAAGATGGTTACACCTAACTCACTTTATACTTAAAAATCGCCAGAAAATATCACTTTATTGTTAGCTTATTGCATATACTCATAAAATAGAAGATTATATTTAAAATGAAAAATACTTTACCAACGCTCATTCACTAAGTTAGACACGAATTTATATCATATTTTTAAAATAAAATAGACCAAATGGTGATGATAAGTTAATACGTGTAACTCATAATCAACTTATCTTTTAATTCAACAACATTGTCCATTTTCAACGAATGGCATCATATATCATGACCAAATCCTACGCTGAAGAAAATCTTGGAATATTTTAAGTAACAATAATTGAGTAGCGTATTTTGTATTTAATGATTTATACTCTTTTTTTTATATTATCAATAACAAAACATATAATGTAACTTTATTACATTTCTAAAATTTTGTTATATATATTGAAAAAGAAAAGATGTAAAAATTTGTAACACATTAATCGTGGCGTTTCACACCAATGGAGAGCCAGATCACGCTATTACCATGGGCTCTGCCAGATCAGCATCCAACATCTTATCTCCACGTCACCCTGGCCTGCTGGGGCCCTGATCTCGACGGCACTGTTAATCTAACGGCCATGATCGCGGGCTCTAATGTGGCGCCAGATAGACACAGATTAACCGGGGTTAGTTAACCGCGGGTTCTTTTTAGACTGGAAAAAAGAAAGAAAAAGGAACCCTCGAAGAGAGAGAAAGTGAATCTTCTTTATATACATCGCCCAGAATAAATCATTTTTATATTGAGATTTAGAGTCTAGAGAGAGAGAGAGAGAGAGAGAGAGAGGAGAGAGATCTCCGGCGTAGGCGAAACAGAACTACGATTACGAGGGGTTTCGTGGCTTTGTATCGGCGTCTGTTCACTCTGCCGATAACTGTGTTATTCCGTTGAGCCTTTCTGAATCGGGCGGTTGAACGGTGGTTGTGAAATCTCGGCCGCCGGGGAATTAGAACTCTAACCGATCTCCAAGATCTGCCATGCCGGTCAGTCTTTGGCTTCGATTTCTTAGAATTTTGTTCTTAATCTCGTAATGTTTGGACTAATTCATATCTCGCCGTAGTCTTCAATGCTGGTCCTTTAGAAACTTCCATAGATGAATTCCATAATTGATGCGTAGAGTGATTTTGGTAGAGATGATGGATTCTTGAGTTTGTTTTCAGGGAAATGAAATGTAAAATTATTTTTGGGGATTAATGCTATGCTGTAATATATTTTGTTGTGCCAATTTTGTAATTTAACGAAGGATTAGGTAATACTTAATACTTAGAGAATCACAGTCTTGTTTTACTTATCACGGCATTGATCATGGATTGAGGTGGTACTTAATACTTACCTCAAGTGAGTAATACTAAATTCTTTCTTATTAAAAAGGAGGTTTTTTTTTCTTTGTAAATTAGTGGAGTTCTAAATGTTTACTTAATTGCTAATGGAATTCTAAAGGTATTTATGTATAGATTCTTGGGCTAGACATTAGTGGATAACTGTGGATTTGTGGTTGGGGGTATCCCCTGCCATATTAAGGAACATGGTGCAATTTTCCTGACTTTTCATGAGAGTCAGTGAGTTTTCATATTGATGACATTCTAAATTAATTTTATCATTAAATTTCTGATTTGTTTAACAATGTAATTTTCTTTTTTACAGATTGTAGAATTTGTAGTCCACTGCTAATACCGTACCCTCAGATGGCTCTCGCATTATAGGATTTGGTGTACTGCTTCCTTTGTTCTGATTTCTGGTAAGGTGACATCATTTGGAGATTTGTTGTGCAACTAAGATCCTTTTTTGCTGATTGATGATTGTTTCTGGATTGATTATTGTCCACTCATGATTGGTTTCTGATTTTTGCTCCAAATTGGCTGTGCAGGGAAGGCTCTTGGCTGTTGCCATCTCTGTTGGTGAGATCTGACGGCTTGTGTTGTCTACTTACTCAAACAACCTTGTTTTGACCAAGATGGCTGTGGCAATTTTCAAAAGTCCACTTGGTAGGGAGTACCATGGAAACAAGAGGATGGAAGGGAAACCTGCAGGCAGCAGACGTGTTTTTGTGCAGACTGAGACTGGTTGTGTACTTGGGATGGAGTTAGACCGCATTGACAATGCACATACTGTGAAAAGAAGATTGCAGCTTGCACTCAATGTCCCAACTGAGGAGAGCTCTTTGACATTTGGTGATTTGGTGTTGAAGAATGACCTCAGTGCCATTCGGAATGATTCTGCACTTCTTTTGACTAGGAACTATATGCATAGAAGTTCATCAACTCCCTGTCTTTCACCCACTGGTGCAGAGATCCAGCAGAGAGATCAAAGTGGTCCTATTGAGATATTGGGGCAGTCTAGTAGCTTTGCCAAAACAAAACAACTTGTCAAGGAAATTGTTAAAGGAATGAAGGCCGGGGTTGACCCCCTCCGAGTCCATAGCGGACTTGGGGGTGCATATTATTTTAGAAACAGCAAAGGAGACAGTATTGCCATTGTGAAACCAACTGATGAAGAACCCTATGCACCAAACAATCCAAAAGGATTTGTGGGCAAAACTTTAGGGCAACCTGGCTTGAAACGTTCAGTCAGGGTTGGTGAAACAGGTTTCAGAGAAGTTGCTGCCTATCTGCTTGACTATGATCATTTTGCTAATGTGCCACCCACTGCATTGGTGAAAATCACGCATTCAATATTCAATGTAAATGATGGTGTAAATGGGAACAAACCTCATAAGGAGAGGCAACTTGTCAGCAAGATTGCATCTTTTCAACAGTTCATCCAGCATGATTTTGATGCCAGTGACTATGGAACCTCAAGCTTCCCAGTTGCTGCTGTACATCGTATTGGGATATTAGATATTAGGATTTTTAACACAGATAGGCATGGAGGAAATATTTTAGTTAGGAAAGTTGATGGTGTTGGGAGGTTTGGTCAAGTGGAACTCGTTCCTATTGACCACGGCCTCTGCTTACCAGAAAGCTTGGAGGATCCATACTTTGAGTGGATTCATTGGCCACAGGCTTCTATTCCATTCTCAGATGATGAACTTGAGTACATAAAGAAGCTTGATCCTTTCCATGATTCTGAGATGCTGCGAAGTGAACTCCCAATGATTCGTGAAGCATGCCTTAGAGTATTGATCCTTTGCACCATTTTCCTCAAGGAAGCTGCTGCCTATGGGCTGTGCCTAGCAGAAATTGGTGAGATGATGAGCAGAGAATTCCGTAGTGGTGATGAGGTGCCGAGTGAACTAGAGACTGTATGTATTGAGGCGAGTAAACTGATTGCAGTGGAAGAGATGTTATCTCCCCGAGTAGAAGTTGATGATGGGAGTTTTCATTTTGACATTGAGTGTGAAGATTATAGGTACGAGTGTATGCCAAAAATGGCCTCTGCGGAGTTCATGACCAGGAATGCATTTCAGTTTGCATTTGGAGGGAATGGCCAATGGCCGCTTTCTAAACTTGATGAGAGTACTCAAGAGGAAGAGGAAAGTGAAGAGGAGGCAGAGATCTCCACTGGTGGTCCTGTTGTGACTAACAACGAGCACATTCCAATTCCAATTCTATCCAAGTCTCTTAAAAATACCAGTTTGGGTGAGAAGAAACTCGGGCTCCCTAATCCTTCCGGAACAAAACCAGAAAATGGATACCTGGCTTGTTCATCATCTGGGTACCGGAGCGCAGACGAGCAGCTCCCTGCTAGCGTTAGCTTTGTGAAGCTAGCAGATATGACCGATGAAGAGTGGGCAACATTCTTAGAGAAGTTCCAAGAATTGCTCTACCCTGCATTTGCAAAGCGGAGGTCAGTGACTGTGGGTCGGAAGCAGCTTCAGAGGCTTGGAACTTCTTGCCAGTTTTGACCTTTTCAGCGGCTCGGAACATCGTTCTTGCTAGGTTTGAGTTTTAAGGCACTGTCTTACTATGAATATAAGCATTAAGCAGGTATGGAATAAGAGTTTGCTGGCTTGTGGAAAGTAAAGGATTCGGATCCTAGCATAGGTAATAGGTGATTGGTGGCGGGAGTGGTAGTAGAAGGCCGGAGCTGTATATAGTTTTGTAGGCAGCAGCCGTTCGAATATGAGTCTTTGTTAGATAAATAAGTTGTAGAGTGTATTGTGAAAAGGAAAACAAGAAAGCAATGTAAATATTGGATTTCTTTTTTCTTGTACTGTCATTTTTCTTTGTATTTCTTTCAAGTAAATAAAGTTCCAATAGAGATATCTTAGCGGCTTCTGTATATGATTTGGAATCAGGAGATAAGACCAGCTGCTTAGCCATATGAACAACTGAACAAGTATAGTTATAAAGTGGCAACCTCAGCCAATTAATAAAGCATTACTTGGTAACTATAAAGTTTCAAGTTCGATTTTCTCTGAGAGTTTCAATTAGTTTTTTTAGTTTTAGCCTGCCATCTTAAGAGTGTGTTTGGTTGGTGGGTTTTGTCTATAGGAATATGTATGAAAGTGATTGTTTTTGTTTGGTTGATAAGCTTTCAAAAAAAAAAAAAAAAAAAAATCAATGATAAGGAAAGGGGGTCAAGATTACACGTTCAGTCCAAAGATGATAAATAAGGAATCTGTATTGTTAACTATTGATGAAAGGTCAATCTGAGCTAACTATGGGCGTGTCTTCCTGTCATGTTGCCATTGCTTGTTTTTGTTTTATGTTGACAACTTGAGTGTGTGGGGACTCATAGCTGTCTCCCACTGTTTCCACATTGCACCGTTACCTATTTAACAGAAAGAAACCTTTTTGTTTAATTTGTGGAGTGGGCATTTGTTCCATTATATTGCTTGTAATTTAAGTTATAGCGATGGAAGAACAATGATGAATGCCTGTGGGGTTAGGAGAATGGGAGGTTGTCTGCTTGTTTTTATCTTCAACATAGTTTATGTAAGTTCACCCTTATCAAATTATATAGAACTTATAACTTGTTGGATATTTAGTTTTAGATGTTAAGATTAAGTACTCATTTGATAACCAGTTTGGTTGGCGCAAGTGATTGTATACTCTCAAATACGGTAAATTATTTTGTAGACATGAATCCACCTTGTAAGGGAGACTCGAGTCCAAAAATACACAATTTATATACTGAATATTCACAATTTACATACCGAATGTTTACAATTTATATACTGAATGTTCACAATTTACATACAATTGTGAACATTCAGTATATAAATTGTGTATTTTGAACAAGATGGACCCGGGTCCATGACATAGCTGTTGTTCAAATCCTTTCTCATATAAAAAATTAATAAGGACCGGCGCTTTGTCTCTTAATTGCGCCAGGATTAGTGTGATTATGGGAAAAAGAAGAAAATCATCTCGCTTAAAGTAGGGGTTGAACTCGGCCAACCCAGCCGACACCCAACAAGACTTCCATTGCGAGGAAATTTATTTCCATAACTTTGCTCTAGCTCACTTGGAGGTACGATCAAATATTTGAAAAAGTCTAATCAACTCCCTCTTCTAGACTTATAGTTAATAATTCTATTCAATATAGATTTTTTACCAAGATGGTTTGGTTGTGAGGGATTTGGCTCAACTAAATTGATCGGGCAATGACCTTGAAATGTCACAAGTTCTACTCTCAGTTGAGAGCTACCTATTAACTTTTCAATTAAGCGAGTTAATCGAAATTTACCTAGATTTGTTACCTGGCCTATTAGAAATTTAAGAATGAGTTTTATACATACACATTTTTAAAAAGTGATTGCGGATTTTCCATTAAAAACAAAGGTGTCTTGGTTTACTAAAGCTAATTACTAACAACTCTAGCAGCTGTAGCAAGAAATTAATAAATTTATGAATCTTTAGAGGCGTGTTTAAATAGACAAATTGGATGGATTCTTTCTACCTAAAAGTGTAGTGTTATGGGGCCTGGGCATGAACTTTATTCCTTATCATTTGCAATCCACCTCTACTTTTTTTAAATCAATCGATTTTAGGAGCACTAACCCAAAATCAAAGCATATAGTGATTTGATCGATTGATACACTTTTAGGTTACAAAATTTGTCTTTTTCCATTAAAATCACATTCATAATGTGACATTATTTATACAAGTGTTTAAAAATGTAAAAATATTTTATTTTCATTAGTTATCTGTAATAGCGTGTAAGCCACACATAAAAGATAAATTACATTAAAAAAGACAATGTGTGATGAGTTTGATCGATTAAAAAGTGTTTGCAATTAGAGAAAGGTGGAACCAAAAATGTACCCCTAGCAATTTTTATTTTTTTTTGTATTATCTACTCTATTACATGGTAGTATCTGTTTGATACTTTTTCTATCTATTGCGGTCTAAAGAGCCCAAAGAGTCAATACCTCATCACCGGGTTCGATTATGTGACATTCCCTCAGAAGTGTCATCTGATCTCATGTTGAATAAACCAAATGCATGAACACCTACTGATTATAGGCATTTTTATGTCTTGGACACCCTTTCGAAAAGTGACAACATTAGGACTTTTGTAATTTTACTTTTCTCGATCACAGTATAAGAAAAAGTAATAGGCTGGTCAATGTCATTCGACCATATATACAATATAAACGCCTTTTTGAGCAAAACATACAACAAGATTTTAGAATAATCAAATCTACAATTAACATTAATAACCAATAATCCAAATTTCCAAATTCTAACACAACAACCAGAGTTTAACCTCATCACTCCTCAATATTATTATTGGTTAAAAGAAAAGAAAAGGAAAGAAAAAGAACTAGTGTTATATATAATCATGAATGAATTCCAATTTCAATTTCACATCTGAAGATCAGACATGTCTCCAATTAAGGTCTTTGAGCGCAGCTAGCTAGCAAGATTAACACAGTCCTTGTATCTAAAACAAGGCAGAAGATGATCTATGGTCATGCCGGCGGCTTGCATGAAGGAGTAAACGATGACCGGACCGACGAACCGGAAGCCACGCTTGAGCAAATCCCTGCTAATCATCTCGGCTTTGGGGCTTCTCAGAGGAACATTTCTGGGATACTTGAATCTGTTGATGATGGGTTTGAAGCCCACATGGTTCCACATGTAGCTGCTGAATGATCCACATTCACTCACTATCTACACACATATTTATATATCATTGTCAAACAATTAAGCTAGTAGCGATTGCTTAACTATATTTCTTTATACTTAGTCGTCGTCAGTGTTACTTTTCGATAGTAGGATGTTGGCTCTAGGCCTCCTAAGCATAAGCTTAAGTGTATATAGGTTGGCGGCAGTGTAGGAATTATGTTCAAAGTGGGCAGAGGGTAAGTATATATAGGTTGGATGGATTATTTGACTGTGTTACAATGTAGTATTTGTTCATCTCAAGTACAAAGAGTCAATACTGCATCTCTAGGGGCCTAGGGCTCAAACTCATAGCTCCCATTTGGGAGAGTCGCCACTTCATGCCACTAGACCACAAAATCATTGACATTTCGTCTGGATATCAATGTAGTATGAAAAAAAAATTAAAAGATAATAATAAGTAAAAGATAAAGAAGAGTAGATGGAGCTGAAACATGCCTTCATTATGCATTTGGCATTCTGCACAATGCACCTTACTCTGCTCACGGTTAACATCAATGCTTTTTTGGATGCAATTTCTTGAATCTCTTTCTCCCCCATTTTGGCCACATTCTTTACATTAAACCCACCAAAAGCTTCTCTGTATTGTTGATATATATGACAAAGTCCAAAGTAAAACATAATGATTATATTTTCACACAACAAAAGAGCTAGTCGTACGTAGAATGAAACAAGTAGTGTTTTGTCTCCTTAAATGTTAGTTACCTGAGTACTTCTCTCTTTTTCAAAATTTGAGTCCAGTTGAAATCCATCAACATGCTAGACATTGCAAGCAGCTCAAACAATTGACTGTACGTTCACAAGACATTTCTTAGCAATTACGGATTAAATCTGCTCCTTTCTAATAACTCGCAAACTACACAGAGGTAAATCCACTAAGACCTAAGATTAGTAAGAAATACAATTCTTTCTCATGTATCAATGGGGGCTAATAAAAAATGAAGTTGAAAGAGATTGTATATATGCTGCTTACTTATCATCATAGACTGGAACTCCCCAGCATTCATCATGGAACTGCATATATACATTATCTGCATGCAAAATTATATTATATTAATTATCATTTCATTATAAATTCTTTATTTCAACCAACAAACCCAACTTATAATTAATCTCAATAAGTTTTTTTTTTTTTAAGTAATTATAACATTCAATATAATTCGATTTTAACCCATCCAAAAACTCAACCAACATACTCATTTTCAACGTTTGAACTAGAAAAATGACGAATTAAATTTCTTCAAACCTGGCCATGCAAAATCTTACATGCATCTAGACTAAATTTTTTTGTTTATAGGTTAGATAGTGTTGAAGCATCAATGGACCTAACAACCGCTAATATATAATGGATTAAACTGAGGTAATACATAGTACTAATGGTTGGTACAACGAAAGCTAAAACAACATACTACCTAATATGCATGTATACAATGAATTGTTAATGTTTCTTATTCTAGCAAGTCTTTAGGTTTTAGCCAATTATTAATTCATTAGATTCTTTCTGTTGGCTATGAAATAAATTAATTTCCACCTTCCCTCTTTTAGAACTTTGACCAACTTCAAATTCTCTCTTTATACCAATATTAAGTCTAATATTGGTCTTTCTTGCAGGTTTAAGCCAGCCAGCTATGACAGGCTATGTTGATTTACTTCTTTGAAATTATTTATCGGTTAGGTTAGGGTCACAAGGTGGACTTTATCCAAAACGTCCTTTCAAGAAGGGTGTGTGAGCTTAATTTCCTGTAAATCAAAGACTCAAGTGAAAAAATTAATACTTAATATTTAATTAATAAAACTTATTAGAATATATGTATATATGTAATTCATAAAACCCATTGACTATGTATGAATTATAGTATTTATGAGAATATTGACAATATTCTTTTTTATTTTTGGATGACAAAGAAAACTTGTTGTCATTATTTGAGGGTGTGTAAGGGTATGTAAACCGGCTTCTGCGAAGAAACGTCATCCCTCTTATGAAATTAATCACTAATGAGAAAGAACCAGGTCACGAATACAATAGGGAAATTAAATTCCAATTCCCAAGCTAGACTGAAAACTTGTAGCCTAGCTTAGCATAATAAGTATATGGCTATGTATGTGCTACATCGTTCACTATAATCTCATGACATGACTGGATTGAGAGTTTGTAAACTCTCGACTTATTATTTTTACAAGGAAGTCAAAGATAAAAAATAATATTGAAATAAACATAATTATTTTCCTTTTTAAACATAAGGCACTCTAAAAATTAAATTAAACTCTCCTTAATACAAATTAATAAACTGTTTTGTGTTTTTTGGAGAAGTTAATGAAACTTAGCTTACCACTGTTTTTCGTAATCCAGTTGCATCTCTTCACCTCGTCCTCGCTAGAACTGGGGCTAGGAATATTCCGGGCAGGACTAATACAAGGCTGCCGGCGGGCATTTCTAGTAGCCGGCGGCGGCCGAGAGCCTCTTCTTTCCGGCGAAGCAGCGATGAAACCAAGCGCCAGAGATATGTTGTCATCCAACGGAGATAAAGAAGAGTCGTCAGTGAGGGAGGAATCGTCGGACGTCTGCGATAACGAAAGCGAGAGAGAAGACAAGGAAAGTGCTGAGCAAGTCTTGTGGAGGCCATTAATGGGGTGAACTTTCTTCAAGTTCTTGGAGAATATGAAGTAATTATTGGATGGTTTTTGAGGTTGTTGGTCTCTTGGGGGGCTTATTGTTGTGTTGTGTTTCTCAAGTATTATTGCATGCTTTGATCTCGCACTTTGTTTGGACATGTTGAAATTAAAGAGGAGGAGAAATTAATGGTGGGGGGGTTTTTTGGAGAGAATTTTGCAGGTGAAACAGTGGTTGAATTGATCGAATTGAGAGAATTAATGAAGATTTAATGAAAATGGGATGTTCGTTCGTAGGTAGAATGTGTGTTTCATTGGACTTTGGATTAGGTATTACTATATTCTTCTTGAATGTCAAGCAATATTAGATAGATATAATACATCATATATTCTCTAATTGTTATCCATTTGTCTATCAAGCTAGTTTTTAGAATTGAAAAAAAAAATAAAATGTAGCTAGCTAGAGAGAGGAGCTAGTTAATTAGTTGGTTTTCCTATTGTGGTTTACATCTCTAGTGTGGTTTACATCACTTGTGTGTGGTCAATTATTGCCAATACTTTCAGTTCAGTCGAGTCCATTGCATAAGTTTTTTTTAGTGTGGTTTACATCTCTTGTACAGTAGTAGTTCTGAGTTTCTCTCATGAAAAAAAAATGTTCATTTTACTAGCTAAATTGGTATTTTATGTGTACAAAATAGGTCGAAAAAGATAGTCTCATTACTCAGTTAAAGCAACTCATACATTATCTAAAGCACTACTTAATATATGTGAGAGAAACACACCATATTTTTCATGTTAATTCACGATATAGTAGCCTTGAACCTTCATATTATTTATGTACTTATATGTAATTATTATGTGCTTACATGCATAATGAGGTTGGAGATTGGATAGTGATGAGAATACCAAATATCGAAGATGGAGAAGAACATAATATCTAAGCAGCATTAATTGCAAAAACAACCACAATAATTGTATAGGTAGGACAAATTGACCGGTGGAATGATTCTTAATTAGTTATGGCACCAATTTAAGGATTTCATAATTTGGTTAGCGTGCCAAACTATTTTAGTGGTCTCCACTAATTAAAATGTTCACTATTCTACCTTATATATATCCATCTCTGTTTTAATAAAAAAAATAATAACTTGAAAAAGAAATTGCTAAGGTGGTGCAGTGTAACTAAACCTAGGAGGTGCAGTATATAGGATAGCATGCATCCAAAATAAGCAGCTGACTTTCAGTTCATGAGTTGATCTCAGTTCAAGTAGCAGTGGGTCCCTCAAATATACTTAATTCACACTCTTTTGCCCTTAATAATGAGGTTATCTTAATTAATGATGATGAAAGATCATCTATCTTATCACTATTTATTTAATTATATAAAACAAGTCCGAACTAATACAAAAATGATATATACAACTTAAAAAAGTATACATATAATATTTAGACATGCTAAAAAAATAGAAAATTAAGACGCTAATGTTACACTGCACGTTATATATATTTTTATATATTCTATTTCATCGCATTACGTATCAAAGTACAAAATGGGAAAATCATGAGATTACATATATCTCACCATCATTCTCTCTTAGTTAAACACAAAACGAGTCCAAGGAAATACAAAACTGCAGGTACAACTTAAAGAAGTATACATATAGTACTACATACGTACACATCTAGACATGTTACGAGAAGAGAAAATTTTCTTAAAATACGTATAAATTAGCTTAAAATATTTAATTGTTCTTGGGTGGATGATGCTTTGGAGGATGGTAATCAAGAGTGTAGGCAACAAAACCAGGAGGCATCTCTTTGCGTTTCTCTACCATGCCCAATTTTCGTGTTTTCAACTTGTTTGTTGTTGTAATCGGTCCGTGTTTCGTATCGATAAATACCTACATGTATGATATGTAAAAATAAAAGGTTCGTTATGATATGTAAAAATAAAGGATTCATTATTCAGTTTTGTATATATGTGTATATCATTTTATAGAGTTTTTGGTCAGTAGAAATTTTCATCGAGTAAGAGTACAGTTAATCCTAACATAATCTATATTAGTTTGAGTGGGTGAGAGATATCCGATGTTGTATGGAAAGAATGAGGAATTATTTTAAGAGGGGCATAAACTAGTTATAATGAAGAATTACCTTTCCATTTGAAGGGGAATTCCATCTTCCAACACCAAATGATCGACCTAGAAATTTAATTAACACACATAAAATTACTTCTTAGTAACATATACAATTAAGCACCTTTTTTACTCTAAAACTAGAGCAAGGTCTTGAAGTTAATTAATATATACACATGTTTAGCACAATTTTTGATATATATATAAATCAATAAATATGTTCAATAACAATTAAGTAATATCATAAGTATATATAACAAAAAAAAAAAATCATAAAATTCACATTGAGATACCAGTTAATTAAGAATTTAACCTATGACCTCTTGATCGTGGACATATTTCTTAGTCAAGTTGGTTAAACCCTCAATGACATACATACATACACACGTATATATATGAAATTTTTTATAATGCTGATCGTAACGAGTACAACTAAATATGATATACCTAGCCTAAGCCATAGACAATCAATACATATATACATACACACATAACAAATGAAGAAATATATGGAGGGGGGAGGGGGGAGGGGGGAAGAACCTTGTTGAGGATGAGCATTTGAGGGGCATTGAGCAATCAACACTAGAAGTATAAGTGAGACTGCTGAAACCCTAATTTGCAGCAACATTTTCCCAATTTCCTTAGCTTCTTTATAAGTAGTGTTTGGATGGAGCTGAGTGAGTATGTCTGTTCTTCACAATAAGGAAGAATACAGGCATGCAATGGCTTCTATATATACACAAAAACTAAGAGCACGCAAGCCAATGTTGTGGTCTATAGAATTTGCAAAAAATTTTACATTCCCCAAGTCAAAACAAATTTACCATTCTCAGGCTCTCAGCTCCCACTTTCCCACTGTCATTTTTTTTTTTTCCCTTCTGTACTGTACGGCCATCAAAATTTTAACCCATTTCTACACTATAGACCACAGTCCACAGTTAGAGTTTAGCATCACTTTGGATAACTCCAATCTAGTTGGTTAGATAGTTTGTTTGACGATCACAACTTTCTAATAAGTTCAACTCATCTATTGATGCATGTAAGGATCACAATGCCGGTTTTATCTCAAATACAATTGCTGGCTTCGTATTAAATCATGAATTTTATTCTTGTTAATATTCTTTTAGTCAGAAGTTCGATTCTTACTAACATTTGTTTAGTATTACCTCAGCTCTTATCAATTTCTCCTGAATTTGTATAGTGATTGCGAGTTTTTTCGTCACTCAAAAAAATAATATGTTATATAATGGACATAGAAAAGATGTGAATTTTTCCTTGTAATGCATCCCATGTTAGTCAAGTTTTCAACTTAAAAATTCGTGAAGATCCATGTGTCAGTAGAATGAGCAAAAATACTATGATCTTCGAGCACATTATTTAAATTCAATTCACAACCATTTTTTCTTTTTTAATTTTATGTGCATTCTCCTTTGAGTGCCCATAATCATCATCTTGAACTTTCGTGCCACTGCACCGACTACTTAATTAAACATGGTACGTTTTTCAGTTCCAATTAAATAGCAGTTATACAAAACCTTCAATTAAAATGTTTCTTTTTTTTAGAGAGATATTATAATATCTTGTGTAATAATATAATATTATTTTTTTAACCCGACTCTATTAGAGTTTAAGGCTGAAAAAATGATGACTTCACAAATAATTGAATAACAAAAAGTAACAATGAACGTAACTAATGAACATAAAGTATTATTTCTCTATACATGGACGCAAAATATCATTTTTCTAAAAGTTGATATGGCCTTGTGGGGTTGAAAAGTGTAGGGAATGAACTTTGTTAGACAACGTGGAGAGGAAGATACGAGTGTTTCGCGCCTGTCCTCCGCCATGCACTCTACGATAACATATTTCTCTTACTTTTATTATTTATTTTTATTTATGTTTGATATTGCCAAGAAGTTAGTTTTTCCAGGCAACCCTGCTTTTTGTATAGTGTAAAAGGTGTTTAATTTCTCGTTGTGAACATATGTGAATATAATATGATGTTGAGGACTTCTAAGATTACTATTTAACTGCGTGGATACAAACGATAGATCGAATGTAAAACTGATTTGATGAGAGAAACAAAGAATATTTTCGTTGCTTAACATACAACTAACATTTGATTATTTAAAGTTGTAATGGAATTAATTAAACTGGGGGTCCGGATTAATTAACCCGAATAAATGTAACAAGTATATAATTGAACGATAATAGGGGTACGAATATAGTCACGGGGACTGATATTGTATTAATTGTGTATGACAGTTTGTATTAATTGTGTATGAAAGTGCTATTACAGCGGTATAAACGTGTAATAATAATGCAACATAAGTGTTTAGGACACAAGGTAGAACATGATCTTAACAAGACAATTACTAGGCTATTTATGTAAAGGAATTCCCACCAATTACTGCTAAATTTGCGGAGGGCCACGGGACTAAATCCAAGCTCATGTGGTGGGCCGTGAGACTAAGTCAAGGCCCATCATTCTAGGCCCAGAGGTAAGCTCCGAGCTTGAGACTCTCCTTGGGCTGCTCGGGTTATATCTTCCCGGACCCGGGTCTCTATTATTATTGGGTCATTCCAATATATCCATCATCAGTCCCCCACTCTCTAAGTTGCGAGAAGTCGACAACGAGAGAGAGTAAACATTTGGCCCAATCGAAGCCGCTTCGAGGCTCCATGCTTGGATGAATGCTTCACCGTCAACTTGAATGGAAATATTTTGCTTATTCTGGCCAAAACTTTTAGTCTTGCACTTTAATCCGTGATCCGAGTCCTCTCCGTTCGAGAGCGGGCTGTCTGGACGACGCGTGGTCATTTATTAAATTCTTGCTCGCGTGATTTTGCTTTGTTTTTTGTTTTTTGTTTTGTTTTGTTTTGTTTTTTTTTTTTTTTTTTTTTTTTTTTTTTTTTTGGTAGTATGTAGTTATTTGGCCAAGGGTACTCTCAGTCCAAAACTCTTCCGTCGGGTGGCGAATGAGGTCGGACCTCGTGTTCCCCTTAGGGCAGCCCTTCGACCCTAAGTCACCGGACTTAGGCCGTTAAGCTCTTCCGTTGGGGTTGGTACGCGAGGTCGAACCTCGTGCCCCCTTAGGGTAGCCCTTCGGCTCCAAGTCATCGGACTTGTGCCGCTAAGCTCTTCCGTCGGGGTTGGTACGCGAGGTAGGACCTCGTGCCCCCTTAGGGTAGCCATTCGACCCCAAGTCACCGGACTTGTGCCGTTAAGCTCTTTCGTCGGGGTTGGTACGCGAGGTCAGGTATCGTGCCCCCTTAAGGTAAGCCCATCGGCCCCAAGTCACCGGACTTGGTCCGTTAAGCTCTTCCATCGGGGTTGGTACGCGAGGTCGAGCCTCGTGCCCCCTTAGGGTAAGCCCGTCGGCCCCAAGTCACCGGACTTGGGTCGTTAAGCTCTTCCGTCGGGGTTGGTACGCGAGGTCAGGCCTCGTGCCCCCTTAGGGTAAGCCCGTCGGCCCCAAGTCACCGGACTTGGACCGTTAAGCTCTTCCGTCGGGATTGGTACGCGAGGTCTGGCCTCGTGCCCCCTTAGGGTAAGATGAGGGGTCGGGTAAGTACCCCCTTCCCCCCTCATAAAGGTAAAATTTGACATACTCGGACTAATTTTGCAATCGACCAAATACATCGATATAATAACGGATCGTTGGGCGGACCAACGTATATGAACTAGGCCTATAATAGGCTTTTCCATTAGGTGGTGAGCATGGGTGGGGCCCATATCACTGCTAATGAATGCCAAGGTCGAGGTCGCTGCGCACGGCCGCGACCACGAATATGATTATTTATCCCACTTAGTGCTAAACAAGGTCGGACCTCATTTAGGGATAATTGGATAATAATAATAATAATAATAATAATAATAATAATAATAATAATAATAATTATTATTATTATTATTATTATTATTATTATTATTATTATTATTATTATTATTATTATTATTATTATTATAACAAACCACATTGTTTTTCTCCTTACTGCATACTTAAGCAGATTCCTTTGGATTCTTGCTTCATGATCTCAAAAGCAGTTTTAATTAGCTAGCTTAGTCCACATCATGTCGCCATGACAGTAGAGGTTTATGCCACCTTCATGGTTCCCTTGAGGGTATCATTAGCAGAGTTTGTAGGTTTGACGAATGCAAACGCGTTTATTCCCCACACACGGCGGCTCTGAGCCCAACACTCTTCAGTGATGTAGAAAACTGTGGAGCCTGCTATGAGATAAGTTGTGTAATTGTCAGAAAAGTCATGAATCTTTGGTGGTTGCCGTCATTGATTTGCGCCCTGCGAGTGGATGCACCACGCACCACATGCACATTTTGACTTATCTCAATTGGTGTTTCTCCAAATCACAAAGGGGTGGCGATGCTCCAACCCAATACCCATCTCCAATATGCTTTCTGGTGGAAGTGTTTTGCTGCTGCTGCTATATCCCTTTGGATATGCTATCCAAAAAAAAAAAAAAAAGGATTCATAGTCAGGTTAAAGACTGCCAGGGAGTTATCACGGTGATCCATTAAAAATGCTTGGAGGATGCTCTGAGTGGTTTGAGTTTCACCAAGAGTTCCAGAGATCACAATATTCGGGTCACTAGTTCCATTGTTCCAACTTCCCAGTAGGATGTTGCTCACACATCATCACCTTTGCCCCAGAAATATGTCAAATGCATTTCAAATTGCTGCCATTCTCCCAATCAACATGCCTAATAACATTGTCAGGAACCGCGATCTCCACAGGTGTGCTTGTCACAATGGTAGAGATTGTTGCCATCTGATTTATTCCAACATGCGGCTGTGATTACGCAGGAGCTTCCCTGGAGAACCTCGACTCAATCTAATTGCCTCCCTCGCCGCCCCATCGCAGCGTCAAGCCATCTTCGCGGTGCTGCTTTCGAAGAGCGGTCTGGTTGGCTCCTCTCCCGGCGGTGGCGGCGGTGATATGATTAATATATAATAATGCTTCTTCTGCCAAAGCCGTGGACGCTATGTTTGAATTGGAAGTAACATACTGTAGACACGATGGAAAGATCAAAGCGCACACTTGGCGTCTCCTTCCAACCGCCCAGAGTTTTCGTAACTACACTGCTCGAGCAAAGGGGCGGCAGTTTCGGTTCAACCAATTCCACAATATAATTCTCCCTGCCTCATCCTCCGTAGAAAAAATCTCCAGCCGGATTAAATCAGAACCGTAAGAAACTAGCCGATAGCCGCTAGAGTAAACGGTGGCGACCTCTGCCAGAGCGTTACTGGCCGAATACGAAACCAAGATAAACACAAAGGTCATCAGCCACGACGTTTAGCAACCCTCCAATGTACCGTACCCGGATCCGCGTCCGCCGCCGCCGCCGCCCCGCATCCAAGACCCAGCCTGAGACTCCATTCCATGATCGATGGTGGATTTGACGATACCCTATTTGCTGGAATGATGTTTCTGGGTGGCTGCTTCTTGTTGAATCACATCCTACTTACCACTTATTGCTTGACAATCAGATCCCGCTATGGATTATTGAGCTCATGTTTAACGCTAGATGTGGTGACCCCCCTTTACATGAGAAGAAAAAGCTGCAGCCCGCACGACGATGAACCGCTTCATTTGTCATAATTTTATCATATGTTGAGCCTAGCCGTCAAATGATTGAGTCGGGATTTTTCAAAAGGGATCGGGATTTTCCTATAATCATCATCTGCATGTTCGTTTTCATGCACTGGGAGATCGTGGGGGCCACTGGGATTTTGCTTCTGTTTAAACGCACCACTGCTCCAATCAGATTGATTTTTCAATCCGGCATGCCCATTTATATGACCTTGTCGCACGCTTCATATATGGATTTGAGAAGATTGCGGGGAGGCATGCAGCTCGTAAATACAGCATCATTGAAAGTCTTCCTGCATCGTGCGCGCCTTCTCAGATAACAACTGGTGAGGTTGAGAAGAAGAGCATGGATCCCTAGTGCGTATTCGCCGCGGAGGCCCGGTGTATACCCTAGATTGGATAATGCGATGGAGATTGATGACAACCGATTCGTCCCGAATTTAAATCGGAGTGGATTCAAGAAAAATCAAGACTCAACGATGGTGGCTGCAGGAATCGACGAGGATGAATGGAAATTGTGTAGAAAATGAGATATTTTATAATTTTTCCTTTTGCTGAAATTCATGATTGTGTAGGAACTGAGATCTCCGGGTAGGCTTGCGGCTTCATGCACGCACGAGCTTGATATAATTAATCGATATGATAATTGATCGTGATAGTCTTGGTAGACAAACAAATAGAGAGCACGCTCGAACTTATACAGCCGCTCTCAACAAGAGCACCCATGATGGAATTAATTAAATCGGGGGTCCGGATTAATTAACCCGAATAAATGTAACAAGTATATAATTGAACGATAATAGGGGTACGAATATAGTCACGGGGACTGATATTGTATTAATTGTGTATGACAGTTTGTATTAATTGTGTATGAAATTGCTATTAAGCGGTATAAACGTGTAATAACAATGCAACATAAGTGTTTAGGACACAAGGTAGAACATGATCTTAACAAGACAATTACTAGGCTATTTATGTAAAGGAATTCCCACCAATTACTGCTAAATTCGCGGAGGGCCACGGGACTAAATCCAAGCTCATGTGGTGGGCCGTGAGACTAATTCTAGGCCCGGAGGTGAGCTCCGAGCTTGAGACTCTCCTTGGGCTGCTCGGGTTATACCTTACAAGCTAAGACCCGTTGTGGTAATTGAAGTATGTGCTCCATCTCAACTAAAAGCCTAAGCTGATAGTTGGATTGCACATTAATGACTATAGCTACATGCTCACACGCCCCCTCACGTGTGCGGTGGGTTCCAAGCAACACGTGGACCAACACGTGGACCGTTAAACTAAAAGCCTAAGCTGATACCAAATTGAAGTATGTGCTCCATCTCAACTAAAAGCCTAAGCTGATAGTTGGATTGCACATTAATGGCTACATGCTCACAGTGGTAATTGACACCATTAATTGAATTTAGGCTTTGATGGTATTTTGAGTATTGGTTGTGTTTATTGTCAACATATCTTTGTTTTTATGTTCAGGAAAATTTTTTCCTTTTTAAATATCTTGGTTGTAATTCAATCCTAGTTTGGTTATGGTAACTTTGGTGCTCATATGGAAAGGGGATACTGTATGTATTAGGATTTAATTTTATGCTATATATATGAGGGTTATGTGCTGAAGAGAAGAGTGGAGCATACTGAGAATATAATTCATGTGGTACTGGTGCAGAAATGTGCTCAAAGGATGCAGTGCTTCATCAATGGGACTACAGTCTGTCTTAGCTTTAGATTTGATTAACAAGTATTGATTATATGGGACTCTGAGTCATCTACTCATCTGGTGTTGCAATTCTTTCAAGGCAGAAGAGATTCTGCGTCACGAGGGTCTCGTGATCATCAATTTATTATAGCAGTACCCTTGAATAATATCAATAGATACTTCGGAGATAATTGTATTGTGTAAATTTTTGTATCATTATATGTACTTAAACATGTTTAGTAAATTGATCTTGATTTGGGCTGGTCCCCTGTGGATTCAATCACGTTAACTCTTTGTGTCACTCTGCATTTTATTTTTGTCTTTTGCCAATCTGTTGCACATCTCAGAAATTGATGACAAGACTCCAGTCTCATTAATCCCGTATGAATAAGTTAATCTGTTTTTAAAAAAAAAAAAAAAAATTGTTTGATGCCACTTATGATATCATTTCAATTAAATGGGTGGTCACAGGGTCGAACAATAAAGTATAGAACTGCAATGTAAAGAAAGAAATCAAACTAGAGTTTACTTACATTTTTTTTCTTGTTGGTGGGGGGGGGGGGGGGGGGGGAGACGAACGGTGGGAGGGGTGACTCCGGAAACAAAACAAGTAATTACCCCCAGGGGGGACAACACAGAAGTATCTAAGTCTAACAGATCTCTAATCTCCACCGGTGGCACATAAAATTCAATCCAATCACCAGTTTCTACGGAGTGCACTTTTAGCCAACCAATCCGTCACACCATTCTGCTCATGGGGTGTGGTTGATTGTAACTTGTCAATCCTTGTCCAACCACTCCTTGCAGACCTTCATTAGATTAGCACAAAGACCAATTGGCTCGGGACCTTTAGTGAGCCAGTCTATCACTTGTTGTGAATCGCAGAAGACACGAATTTTCTTTTTTTTTTTTGACAATCCAAGTCCATTTGAGACCCACATATAACACCAAGAGTTCTCCTTCCGTCGCATTGTTACATTGGTTTTAGTCGTGCAACTAAAACCACCAACCAATCACCCATGCTACTCGATCATGAGAACACCTTCACATCTAGCTAGTAGCCATGTTTGAGGACTTGAACGATGCATCCGTGTGGAGAACCGTCCAATCATTCAACACAACTAATAATTCATCACACGAGCTACTGAGGTGTTTATAGATCGGCCCACTGCAATTCAAATTTTACATGCTATAAGGTAAAAGTGAATAAAGCTTGAAAATAATATTATTTGGCGCATAACATAAAGTCATGTGTTAGATGAAGAAAAAAAAAACTTTTTAATCACTTTAAATATATATATTTTTAAATCCTTCAATAATACTATCTACACGAGTTGAAAAAAACCATCCATCGAGAATATATACATACGTACGACTCCAAAAATTTGGTCCAATGGCCTAACAAATGGATGGTTTCTAAGTTACAATTGTTATATCGTGCACCAGGGTGCACAATGCAAAAAATCTCCTGTTTCGTATGTACATAATTATATAGTAGAATGCACATAAACTTCTAATATAATATACATTTTAATATAATACGTAATACACATAAACTCTATTATAATATACATAAACTCTTAACATAATATACATAAACTTTTATGTAATACACATAAACTTTTAACGTAATACACATACACTCTTAGGGTGCACAATGCATTATGCATCTTGGTGCACCATATAATTTGCCTCCAAGTTAAAGTAACAAGTACCAGTTGTTATATTATAGACCGCGGTGCATAATCGATTATGCACCGCGGCCCATATACGGCGCCGTTTCTTTAAGTAAAGAAACGGCCCGTCGTTAGAGTTAACGGAGTCCGTTTGTTTGGTGTATTAAACACCAACTGACACTACAGTATATTCAAATCGACACTGCAGTTATATCAAAATGATACTGTAGTTATAGTGAAATGAAACTGCAGTGTATATAAACTGAAACTGAATAACATTTCACATATTTGAGTGTATATTGTACAATGAAACTGTAATTATATCAAAATGATCATGTAGTTGTGTTTTAATAAAACTATAGTGTATATAAAATAAAATTAAATAACATTTTCACATATTTGAGTCTATAAATATCGAATGAAACTATAGTTATATCGAAATGAAACTGTAGTTGTGTTCAACTGAAACTGCAGTGTATACAAAATGACACTGAATAACAGAGTTACTTTTTGCAAAAGGGTGCGAAACGGCGAAAATAAACACAGTTAATTTTCATTTAAAAAAAAAGACGCGCGGTGCATAATCGATTATGCACCGCGGTGCATAATATAATTTGCCAACAAGTACTTGCCAATCCTAAATTTAAACCAAAGCCCAAGGACAATACATGATGTATATGCATGCTAATCTTAGTGGAGCTTGGGCTTTTCTCCAATGGAGTTGATGTTGATATAGCAGACTACATATATTGGGCTAATTATGCTTTGCTTTATGAATTATAGATTCATATAAACCATAAAACTATTGTCCTTAAAGCAAAAGTTTCTATACATTAGAGCTCTAACGGGCAAATTTTACTTGCATGATCTAAAACGGTGTCCGTTTCTTTAGTTTTGTCATTTTATATTAATTGTAGTTTTATTTCAATACAATTATATTTTTATTTTATTTCAACTACAGTTTCATTTGACATTACACATACAATAATCTTATTACAATAAGATAGGTGATTAAATTTCATTTTATAGACACTAATCTTATTACAATATGAGTATCTTACTTATGTTCTTTGCGATTTAGCTAACGCCTTTGAACTTGCCAATATTTGTATATTTTTAATGATAATAATAATAACATCAGATTAAAATTAGAAAAACAAAAATCAAGATAATGTAGTTGCTGACATGGCAGAATCTCCACCTTAAAATTCTCAACAGGCAAACTTCCAAACTAAACCCTTATTGCAATTTGGGAGTTCTAGAACTCTCCGGCGCCTCCTCCTTAAACCCCACTTTTCATCTCCAGGGTTTTCGCACTCTTCTTCATTTCCCCGTTTAAGCTGCCCACCAAAATACTCACACTGTAAGCGTTGGAAAACAATAGTAACGCCCAAACTCCATCTGGGTATTGAGCTAAATGGCCCCAGTGATGAGCCGGAGTTTGACCTCCGTGGCTGCGGTGCCCTTTACGCCGTCATTCCCACAGAAGAGTGCAGGTGGCAATAGGGTAGCAGCGTTGAGAAGTGCTTTCTTGCCCAGGAATGGTCTGAGGAACAGGCTCTCCAGCTCCGGGTTGAAATGGAAGCTTGAGAGGAGAGATAGCAGTGTGGTGGTGAGGTGTGAGGCCTCTGCCGTGGCTGAGAAGGAAGCCCCTGAGAGCGAGGGAGAGACCCATGGGTACCAGGCTGAGGTGGGTTTTCAATTTTATCATTAAATTTCGTGTCTTTTTGTTTCTCTATGTTAGGGAAGAAATGAAGAAAACTTTAAATTGGGAGTGTGGGTCATGCTGCTTAGAGAATGGTAAATGGGAGGTTTGAAGGATTTGGTTATGTATCATAAAGACTTAATCTTTATTTGTTGGACTGGAGACTTGGTTGATTCTTATATTATTTGGTTATGTCACTCTTTTGGAGACATTTTATTTCAGTATTGAAAGTTTGAAACTTGATTGATTGCAGGTCAGCCGCCTATTGGACTTGATAGTTCACAGTTTATACAGCCACAAGGAGATCTTTCTTCGAGAACTTGTTAGGTGATGAAGCCTTTCTTATGCAAAAGAATAGTCTTGGTTTTTTTTTTTTTTTTTTTTTTTTTTTTTTTTTTTTTTTTCTTTCAGTAGACATGTAATCCAATACTAAAGGTTTTAACTTTTGGGCCATGTGGTGTTTAATTCAATACTAAGGTATTAGGTATCCTTAGTTATCATTTCTGGCTTAAGAAATTGGAAATGCAATAGTTTTAATGCCTCTTTAGTTCAAATAACCAATATTCGTGAATAATTGTATTGCCATTTCTGCAGTGTATGGAAATTATGCTGATATCTCTGACATGGTTTCTTCTTTTCTTGTAGTAATGCAAGTGATGCACTTGACAAGTTAAGGTTTTTGAGTGTGACTGAGCCTTCTTTACTTGGTGATGCTGGTGAGCTTCAGATTCGTATCAAAGCCGACCCAGACAATGGGACCATCACCATAACGTATGTGTTTTAGTATACATTCAATTTGCAGGGTTGCTTGGTTCAATATATAGATGTATGTGTATCATTCTCTTTCTGTTTGCACTTTGCAGTGATACTGGTATAGGAATGACAAGGGAAGATCTCATAGACTGTCTTGGAACCATTGCACAAAGTGGTACCAAAAAGTTTTTGAATGCTCTTAAGGTACTTCTACTTATCAAATAAGTTTGTGGTTATTGAAATATTAGATTAACTTTATAGTAGCACTACTAAAGCACAACAACCCCTATCTGCAGGAGAATAAGGATCTTGCATCAGATAATGGATTGATTGGTCAATTTGGTGTTGGATTTTATTCTGCTTTCTTGGTTGCTGAAAAGGTGAAGCAGTAATTTCATTCTTTTTGGATGGTTACTATATCAATATTATATTGCTTGTTACTATTTGTTCCTTACTGGATTGCTGATCATCATCCTCTTGTATGTTTAGGTTGTAGTTTCTACTAAGAGCCCCAGGTCAGACAAGCAATATGTTTGGGAAGCTCTTGCCGATAGCAGCTCATACAAGATTAGGGAGGAAACTGACCCTGAAAAGCTCCTGCCCAGAGGAACACAAATTACTCTATATTTAAGGGTACTTTCCTTCTTTGTTTCGACGGTCTTGAGTAGTTTTTATCAATGTTTCACACTCTAACGATTATATATTTCATTAGTATATCACAATTCATGCCATTTACAAAGTTTATTAATGAGTGTGACATTTTATAGTCAGTTCTGTGCCCATTAGAAGAGAAGTCACATAGGATTTTTCGTCTGAGTGCTAAATATGAGTTTGTTATCTAACTTTGATTGCAAGGAGTCAGTACATTTTGTTTTCTTATGGTTAATGAGTAAAAGTGCTATGAGCATTAAGATTATCATAAATGATTCAAGCTTATAGCTCAGTAATTCGTACAGGAGGATGACAAGTATGAATTCGCAGAACCAAAGAAGATCCAAGATTTGGTGAAGACCTACTCACAATTTGTTTCCTTCCCCATCTACACTTGGCAAGAGAAATCAAGAACTGTTGAGGTGAGTATTGCTCCTCTAGTTCAGAAACTATTTCTACCCTGAATAATTTTGTGACTTGAAACCAAGAGTTTGAATTTAGATGCAAGGTTTAGGCGTTAATTTTCGGCACTAAAACTTTTGACAGGTGGAAGAAGAGGAGGAGCCTAAAGAAGGAGAAGAAAATACTGAGGTAATGGGTTCTGACAGCCAAATTGAATCTATCTTTTCCATAAGCGTCTCTGTGTATACATTATTTTTATACATTGTTCTTTATTGACAATGACACAATACAGGGAGAGAAGAAAAAGACGAAGAAGACCAAAACTGAAAAGTACTGGGACTGGGAATTAACGAATGAGACAAAGCCCATATGGGTGAGTTCCAGCAACTATTTTTCTACTATGTATTTGATTGTCATAAAAATTGGTTTTTTTTTTTTTTTTTTTTTTTCTTTGGGTTCATGGCAACTTAAATTTATTCAACTATTGATTGATATGTTAATATGTATTTCAAATTTCAGATGCGCAGTCCAAAGGATGTTGAGAAAGAACAGTACCAGGAATTCTATAAGAATACCTTTAGCGAGTTCCTGGATCCACTTGCTTACACTCACTTCACCACAGAGGTACATCAAACTTTTCCAAGATTACCATTTGGTGTTTAATGCTTTAAATTTACTGGTAGTTTAATGTTTCATTTTATTAATGGTTCAATTTTTTCAGGGTGAGGTGGAGTTTAGAAGTGTCCTGTATATACCTGGAATGGCACCTCTGAATAATGAAGATGTCGTAAACCCAAAGACAAAGAACATACGGTTGTATGTCAAACGTGTGTTCATTTCTGATGATTTTGACGGTGAATTGGTAAGTTAGGACAGGAAGTTACCTAGTAGGCTGTTTTTGTTTTGAATTTCGACATTTTGGAGACAAAGACTAAACAAATCAATACAATAATCCATCAATTCCACATCCTTTCTGTATAAATGCCAGATTTTTTGTTTTTGGTATATTTTGATCATATAATGCTACTTTGGTGATTTGCAGTTCCCAAGATACCTGAGTTTTGTAAGAGGTGTTGTGGACTCTGATGACCTTCCTCTCAATGTTTCACGAGAAATCCTACAGGAAAGCCGAATTGTAAGGACAAACTTTCATCTGTTGAATGATCAGCAGATTGAATATATTTGAACAAGTGGTTTACTAATTTGTATATGTCACAATGGATATCAATCCTTAATAAAGTTCCATTTAGTATTTAAGGATTTTCTTTATATTCCAGGTAAGGATAATGAGAAAGAGACTTGTGAGGAAAACATTTGACATGATTCAGGATCTTTCTGAAAGCGAGAACAAAGAGGTAAGTACTGCATTTTAGCCTGTTTGTTACTCGTTTCCTGTTTTGTCCTTTTTGATCTGTTTTCTAAGTGGGACTGGTATTCCATCCAGGACTACAAAAAATTCTGGGAGAACTTCGGGAAATTTTTGAAATTAGGATGTGTCGAAGACACTGGAAATCACAAGCGGATTACACCGTTACTTAGGTTTTTCTCTTCCAAGAGTGAAGAGGAATTAATAAGTCTGGATGATTATGTCGAGAACATGCCAGAGACTCAGAAAGCCATCTATTATCTGGCTACTGACAGCTTGAAAAGCGCCAAGACTGCTCCATTTGTGGAGAAACTTGTCCAGAAGGGTATTGAGGTAAAAGCATCTTCTCTCTCTCCCTCACACGTCTTCTTTGCAACTATGATCATCATTGGTGTTGATCCTGCTTGCAATATTTCATCGTAACGGTATATGTATGTATATAAAAAGTTTGGTTTATTGGTGAATTGTAGGTTTTATACCTTATTGAGCCAATTGACGAAGTCGCTATTCAGAATCTACAAACATACAAGGAAAAGAAGTTTGTTGACATAAGCAAGGAGGATTTGGAGCTTGGTTAGTATCTCCTATTTACGTAGATTGTTCTTTGTTTGAGAGGTTATTACCGGTAGGTAAAGTATGAATTCCTTCCTTCCTGTAAAAGACGGGGAAATTTGAGGTTGAGAGGGGAGAGGAAGTTAGGAAAATACTATGTGTACTCCCAACTTTTACTCCCACGCACAAAACTTTGATGTAGACATTTGTACTGGGACCCACATGAAAAAAGTAGCTTATCAGTGCCCGCCACATCAGGGAGTACAATTTAGGGAGTAAGATTTGGGAGTCCATCTAGTATAACTAGAGGAAGTTATGCACTTGTACCCCACGGAAAATACTAAGTGGACTCCTATTTTCTACTCTCAAGTCACAACTTTTACTCCCACACTCAAAATTGTGATGTAGACACTTTTACTGGGGCCCACATGAAAAAAGTAGCTTATCAGTGCTCGCCACATCAACGAGTAAAATTGGGGATTAGCAATTGGGAGTACATGTAGTAGAACTCGTACCCCGCATTGTTTGCTTTATCTGACAGCATGGATTGTTTCAGATGATGAGGATGAGGTGAAAGAAAGAGAAACGAAGCAAGAGTACAATCTTCTCTGTGACTGGATAAAGCAACAGCTGGGAGATAAAGTAGCAAAGGTGCAGGTCTCAAAGCGTTTAAGTTCATCTCCCTGTGTGCTTGTCTCTGGCAAGTTTGGGTGGTCCGCAAACATGGAAAGGTCTGCTGATTATAGCTTCTATTTAGTAATACTTTAGATGATTGTAGCCATAATATTTTTACACTACTTTTCCTTGATAAACAGGTTGATGAGAGCTCAGACCCTCGGGGACACCTCTAGTTTAGAGTTCATGAGGGGACGAAGAATCTTGGAGATTAATCCTGATCATCCAATTGTCAAAGATTTACAGGTAAGTAGTTTGCATGAATTCTAGATTCTGAAAAATCTTCTTTTTGGGTAGATTTGAGTAGAAAGTGACTTGTTCCTTTTGCAGGCTGCATGCAAGAATGCACCTGATAGCACCGATGCCAAGAGAGCTGTGGATCTATTATACGAGACTGCCTTGATTGCCAGTGGATTCTCTGTAAGTATTATTCCATAGAACTCCTCCTTCGCCTCTTTAAAATCTTTAGAAACCTCGAAGTTTTATTCTTATATGTCTCTTAAATTTGGTGTTTCCACAGCCCGACAGTCCATCTGAGCTGGGTAACAAGATATACGAGATGATGGCAATGGCTCTTGGAGGAAGGTGGGGCAGATTGGAGGAAGACGAAGAAGAAGAAGCCACAGAGGACTCGGGTGCAAGTTCTCCGGATGAGTCAGAGCCCGAAGTCATCGAGCCATCAGAAGTAAGAACAGAGAATGATCCCTGGAGTGATTAAGAAGTGTTTTCTTCCCATATCAGCATTCTTTCAGCCAAAGCTCCATCCACATTGCTGCTAGGAAGAAATTTTTAGTGTTTTAGAGACACAGCTTCCCAGGGTGGAAAACTTGCAAAATCACAATTGGATAGGAAATTTTCATATTTCTATCACAATAGAAAAGAGGTGGAAAAGGAGTGTTGTATTGGAGGAAATTTTTGGGTGAAGAGATGATTAGAGAGATCTTATTTTTGTGACAAAACTTGTTTGATCCCATGTTTGGAGTGCCCTTCAATAATAGATAATGTTTTCTTAAATGTAAGTGAATGTTTATAAGCTTTCGGTTTGGTTTGCTAAACATAGCCAAATGTTTATACCATCAAATGAAATTAATCCAATCTTAAGGATACTTGAAATTAGTCAAATAATTGATTTGGTAATTATAATATTCTACATTTAATTCTTCATAAAAGTTGTAGGCTTTAAAAAAAATAAATCAAGGAGGTAATATTAGACCTTAATCACCCTATGTAATTGTTGGAGATTTTTTTATAATGTGTGTTTTTTACATGTCGAGATTAATTTTATTCGTGTCAGGGTTTTTAGTTTGGTACATTAAGACCTCACACACAAGATTAGTCATACTTATATCAAAAAAAATCTCAATGAATGATAAATTATATTCGTGTTGAATAAAATCTTAAAGAATGATAAAATACTTTTTCATTGGTTCGAGATTCCTAATTAAGTTGGAATAGATTTACATTATAGCATTCTCAATAAAATTTTTGTGCAATTTTTGAAGAAGAAAAAATCAATCTGTAATTGTTGTGGGTGAAAATTAAACTTGCAAGTGAACGTCAAGTGCCTTGACTTCTCAAATGAGAGGCGCACCTAGCTGACACGTGTAAATAAGCTTTTTTTTTTTTTTTAATTTTTACTTTTTGGTTGTTAATTTTTTTTTTTTTTTTTTTTTTTTTTTTTTTTTTTTTTAACTTTCCTCACTCTCCTACCTGAATATTACAAAAACCACAAAAAATCATCTACTTAAGAACTTGAAACTTGAATCCCAATGTCTTGATGGATTCTAAAATTGGATTTCCTACTCCCTAGGGTTTAGGAGAAGTCTAAAAGTAGTCAATCCCAAAACGGGTCGGATTGTAGCCCATTGGGATTCATGGGTAAATCTGGAATCCAATTGTAAGAGAGGCAATACTAGGTTTTTAGAGGGGTTTAAGGCGGCTCTTGAAGACTGCGACTCGCGCCACCGCATCTGAGCTCGGAATTTCTCACTGCGACTCGCGCCACCGCATTTGAGCTCGGAATTTCTCAGCGCTTATAGACCTCCATAGCTTAACATGTGGAGAAATTTATCAAAGCAAGCTTCTTTAAGGAAATATAAGTTATTTTCTGAGTCTCATCCTCTATTCTCTTCCTTAGGGGCTTTTCAACCTTCTCAATTGTCTGAGAAGATCAGAGATGGAAGAGGCGAAGAGCATGCGGTTTGTATGTACAAAGAGCTAGGTTTTGCTCAAAGTTCACATTTTTCTCGAGGTGATTTTGGTGTTTGGAGCAATTTTCCTGGGATTTTTGGGACTTCCAGGGGTTATGCAAGTGTAGCTGAGGCTTTAGCTTCGACCTCCGAGGAAGATGTCGACGAGGTTCAGGAGCTAATTGAGGAAATGAACAGACATAATGAGGAGACGATGACGGCGAAACAACAAAAACAGCCGAAGACCATTGGGGGGATGGGTGTTTGGAAGTATAGTGTGCTGAAGAAGAGGCAAATAAAGATTGAGACCGAGGCATGGGAAGAGGCGGCAAAGGAGTATCAGGAGCTTTTGACAGATATGTGTGAGCAGAAACTAGCTCCCAATTTGCCTTACGTGAAATCATTGTTCCTAGGTTGGTTTGAGCCTTTGAAAGATGCCATAGCTGCAGAACAGACGGCTTGTTTAGAAGGGAAGATCAAACTAGGCCATGTTCCCTTTTTCACTCATCTCCCTGCTGAAATGATGGCAGTTATTACTATGCACAAGTTGATGGGGCTATTGATGACTGGGAGTGGGCATGGAAGTACTAGAGTGGTGCAAGCTGCTTGCCATATTGGTGAAGCCATTGAGAACGAGGTGAGTAGCATATTGAACTCAGAATCTGATGCCATGTGATTTAATGGGGTTTGGCATTTGATTTTGTTGTATATTAACTTGATGTGAAATTGTGATAAGTTTAGACAAGATAGGGGAGGTTAAACTTGACATGTGATATTCGCAAGTAATTAATTTCTTGAATATTTTGAGATTTTGACATTCTAGAGATACTCCTTTATGTTGTGGAGCTGAAGGCTCCTACTTTTGATTGAGATTACTGTTTTATTTATTTACTTATTACAGTATCATTTACCAACTATTAAAGATTCTGCTGGCTCAGTTATGTTTGTCAAAGTTCTTAATTGTTTTAGCTTCCAACCTTTAAAGTCTTTTGGCCCGTACTTTCATTCAACAAAGTTAACTAAGGTTATATTTTTTAGGCTTTGCTGATTTATTTTCTATCATCATCTTTCCTGTCAGGCTAGGATAAACAGGTTTTTGGAGAAAACCAAGAAAAAGAGTGCATCAAATACTGATTCTGAAGAGCAACCTGAAGCTCTGATGAAGGAAAGAAAGAGACTAAGAAAAAGAGTTACAACTTTGATGAAACAACAAAAGATGCATGAGGTTAAAAGGATAGTGAAACAGCAGGATGATGGGAGGCCTTGGGGCCAAGAAAATCAAGTCAAGGTTGGTCTTGGAGTTGATAAGCAATATGAGTAATGATTTGACTAAATTTTATCTTATGGCTTCTTTTTTGCCTTTTTGTTCCTATGGTTATTTTTGCATGGATGGTGAATTAAGATTCTTTACTCAAAATATGCATTTCCAGGTTGGCTGCCGGTTGATGCAGATATTAATGGAAACAGCCTACATACAGGCGCCTATGAATGAATCAGAAGATGGTGTGCCTGACATTCGACCTGCATTTGTTCATACAGTCAAAACTTTGGAAACACCGTAAGTACAATACATCCCCCCCTCCCTCCCTAATAATAATAATAAATAAAATTGACTTGTGCACAAAAATCAAATAAAAGTAAACAAATATCTACCTACACTTTTGTAAGGGCTGGAAAGTATGCAAAGCATAAAAATGGCATTGAGGATTTGTGGAAATCCTCTGACTTATAAATATCTTTTTTTTTTCCCCCTCATAATAGGGTAGGCAACAGGAGATATGGGGTGATTCAGTGTGATCCCCTAGTTCGCAAAGGCCTTGAGAAAACTGTAAGTGTGACTTATGTTGCATAGTTTGGGTTACTTTATTTTTAATTGTGTTTGATATGCCTATTCGGCAGCCCACTTATATAATTAAGATGTGAAGGAATGCCATTACGTGTATACCTTATGTACCATTACAAATTCAGTTGTTGAAGAAATAGTGAATCTTATTCATTGCAATTCTGCTTTTTGAGCAGGCTAGGCACATGGTGATACCTTATATGCCAATGTTGATTCCTCCGAAGGATTGGACAGGGTATGATATACTACATGATTCATGCTTTCATCTGATTTTCTTAGTATTGATGTGGAATTGTTGTAGTATGTAGTCTTTTCCCCCTTTTGTGTCTAAGTGACAAATTGAACATATTCTATTCCTGATTGCCATTGTTATGTTCATATTTCAGCAGGGTTGCATATCTTGAATTCGATTTTCAGCTTAGCCTTTATATGCTCATAGGGCCAAATTAGTTGTTCAATTTTAATTGCTTCGAATGGTTTAGACTTTAGACATGCTGCATAGGCAGCATGGAACATTGTGTTGCTAATTTGGCCTTCTAGTTTGCGCATATGATACATGATTTTTGGTGGTTAAAAAATTTAAATATATGATTTGTGATTTGATCGACTTATTCATTCCTGGCAGGTATGATAAAGGTGCTTATTTATTTTTACCTTCATATATTATGCGCACACATGGAGCAAAACAGCAGCGGGACACAGTCAAAAGAGTACCAAGGAATCAATTAGTACCTGTCTTCCAGGTCTGGTAGCATTTAAATCTATCACTTCCACTCTTTATTGGTGACATTATTTTATTTTAAATTATTTGATTATTTGAATGCGTAAATTTGTGACATCATCCCTCTAATGCCATGCTTAAGTTTGCGTAGAGAGTTAATAATTGTTTTCCACATATTATAATTCTATGTTCTTTCACTTTAGGAATAAGAAATGAAAAGTTTTGTGAAACTATGCTAATGTTTGATATTCTGTGGTCTATTTGGTTAGAACTTAGAATGATATGCTAGGATCTTTCATATATGGAGTACCACAAAACTACTTCTATAGGATAGAATGGTATACTTGGCATCTTTATGGGCCCACTGGCTGTTGTTTTTCTGTGTATCATTAATGACTTGCAACTAGATGATTAGTTTTGCCTAGCTTATATATTCTTTCCTTTAGAATACTTCTTGCCCTCATTTTTCCATATATCTTTATATATTTGCCTTTTTTCTATAAAAAGGGTTCTACCCTCGTAAGTTCTATACTATTTATTTTGATTCAGGCACTTAACACCCTTGGTAACACCAAGTGGAGGGTGAACAAAAGGATACTTGGTGTTGTTGACAGGATATGGACTAGCGGAGGTGGTGTTGCAGACTTGGTTAGCCGTGAAGATGTGCGTTACAGCAAGCATAAGAATATCAATTTTATTTCCTTAAATTCCAGTTTCCATCTCCCTTTTCTTTCCCCCACTTCTCTTTTTCCAGTGTTCAATCTTTTTGTTCTTTCAGATTCCTTTACCAGAAGAGCCAGACACAGAAGATGAAGCAGAAATTAAAAAATGGAGGTGGAAAGTTAGAACTGTGAAAAAGCAAAACAGCGAGAAACATTCTCAACGGTGTGATATCGAGCTGAAACTAGCTGTAAGAAGCACAATAGATTTCAATTCCTTTTGCATTATTATTTGTTAGATTGATTGTATTCTAAGGCAGCTGACTTTGAAGATCAGGTTGCACGAAAAATGAGGGAGGAGGAGGGATTTTACTATCCACACAATCTTGATTTCCGTGGCCGTGCATACCCCATGCATCCATATTTGAATCATCTTGGCTCTGATTTGTGCCGTGGAATCCTGGAATTTGCAGAAGCTCGCCCCCTTGGCAAGTCAGGGTTGCAATGGTTAAAGATACATCTAGCAAATGTGTATGGTGGTGGTGTTGACAAGTTATCATATGAAGGTCGAGTAGCATTTACTGAAAACCATGTGGAGGACATTTTTGATTCTGCAGATCGACCTCTTGAAGGAAAACAGTGGTGGTTGGGCGCAGAAGATCCTTTTCAATGCTTAGCAACATGCATTAATCTTACTGAGGCACTGAGAAGCCCATCTCCCGAGACTTACCTTTCTCATATGCCCGTTCACCAGGTACTAGATCATACCTAATAGTAAACATAATGCAATTTTAGGATATGTAATGTGCGTGTTTGAGTTGTGACTGGTCATTCAAATTGAATGTAAATAGTAATAATGTTGTTTACATGTTATGTTGTGCTTTATTTCTTTCCTTTTATATCCAATTTATTTATGCTTATGGTTCCAAGGCTGTCCTTGTACTTGGTAGAAGTTTGGAGTTATATCCTCTGATGTGGGCTTTCCTTTTAAACATGATCTAGTTACATGTTACGGAGTATGTTATTCTTCATTTCTTTCCTTTAATAGTTTAATATTAACTTTATGTTTCCTATTACTTGTTAAAATTTGACGTTATTGCATCTGATATGAACTTTCCCTTTCAACATGGACTGGTTGTTTCTTTTTCTCTATGGATTACATCATGTGCTTACAATTTACATTGAGGGAACTTGTTGTACAAGTTTCATATAGGCTAGCCTTATCTTGCAGTCCTGCTGCATATGAGTTATATATATTCTGAAATCTATTTCAATTTTGAATCTGATGTTCTTACTTGATTGTTTGTAACCTTTATCAAGGATGGTTCATGTAATGGCTTGCAACATTATGCTGCCCTTGGGAGGGACAAGGTAAAAAGTTATCTCTTTCTCCCCACTTCATTTTCCCTTTTTGTCCTTTGATGGGAGATGATGAGAAATGATGTATTATTTCAGTATCTTTGTTTCAAAATCAGAGCCATTAAGTATTTCAGTTAGGGTTGGGAAAAAGTTATTCCACATTGGGGTTCATTTCTGATTTCTACAAGTACTGCAAAATGAGGATATGGGTTTTGAATTTCTATTGCACTTCTTTGTTTAACTGGGACAAAGGCTGAAATTTATTTCTAAATCACTTATGGCTTACTTGTTCAACTGTTAAATGGGAAAGTGAACATTAAATTGCCACATTCAGTTTGTGGTGGGATTATTTTATACTGTTCACTTTATTTTCCAAGTGAACAATGTAAATCTATTGCTCACTTAAGTTGCTCTATCTTTTTTTCTCCCAGTTAGGAGCAGCAGCTGTCAATCTTGTAGGAGGAGATAAGCCAGCTGATGTTTACTCTGGAATTGCTGCTCGGTAAGCTATATCTGCTGGGATTTGGTGCTTCCCCCTCTTCCATAACAACGTTCTTCCTTATGGCATGACGTGGTTTGAGAGAAAAATACTTAAAACACAAGAGAATAAAGATAGCGGGCATCCAGATTAATACAGTTAATAAGAAAAATAGCCAAGTGTTACTTTGATCATTTGTTGTAAAGTAACCTCAATGTTTCATTGGTCTCAAAGTTCTTTAGTTGGCAGCAATATAACATTTGGATACTAATAATATCAATGTTGGGGTATAACTTAAATACTGATACTGTGTTAACATTTGAAACCAGAGTTCTTGATATCATGAAAAGAGATGCAGCTAAAGATCCTGCAACTGATCCAAATGTGACGCTTGCAAGACGTTTAATTAACCAGGTTGTTATTATTATTATTATTATTATTATTATTATTATTATTATTATTATTATTATTTGTACCTTGTTATTTAAAATATCACAACACTTGGCACACTAATTTTTCTATTATAGACCAAAGAACAAGCATGTACTTCTTGCTACATTAAGGAACAAGCCTGCATTCCTGTTACACTCCATATAATCGCTCATTCTTTTTCTGCCATCTTGTAATTTTTTTTTTTAATTGCAGGTTGATAGGAAATTAGTGAAACAAACAGTGATGACGTCAGTGTATGGAGTCACTTATGTTGGTGCCCGTGAACAAATCAAAAGAAGATTAAAGGAGCGTGGTGTGATCGAAGATAGTGACGAGTTGTTTTCAGCTTCATGTTATGTGGCAAAAGTAAGATATTGTTTAAATGCTATCATCCATCCAGAGTTTGAAATTTCTGTTTTCCTGGTGATTGATAAATACTGTTTTAGTGAGCTTTAGATGATTCGCTAGAGCTCTCATCTACTTTGGAATCTAGCATATTGTCTACTTTGGCCTGTGTTATTGTAGTTAAGGTCTAACTGTTAGTCACTTTACCAGACTACTTTGACTGCCTTGGGAGAAATGTTTGAAGCAGCACGAGGCATCATGAGCTGGCTTGGAGACTGCGCCAAGGTTTTTTTTCTACAGATAAATAATTATGTTTGCAATTTTGCATATTCATTAAGATGTTAGATTTTGGAATCGTGCCACTTGTAAATTGCTATTCTTTAATTGCACAGGTTCACCTTGATGTTAATTTTGTTTTACTAATGGCTATAATTTATGGGTACAGATTATTGCTCAGGAGAATCACCCTGTACAGTGGACAACTCCACTTGGCCTACCCGTTGTGCAACCTTACCGCAAAATAGGAAGGCATCTTGTAAGCATCAATTTGAACACATTTTAAGTATCTTTTGAGCAGTCTGTTTCTATCAGAAGTAATAACTGAACTGATTGGTCAAATTTATGCAGATTAGGACGTCCCTTCAGATTTTGACATTAAAACGGGAAACAGATAAGGTTTTTCCTGCTTTCCCTCATCTATTTGGTGTGGTGCAATTTTATTTGTAAATTGCAGTTGGGATACTATTACTTCCGAAGCTTTTCCAAGTTTTTCATATTTTTAGTTATTCCCTTAATTGTTACAGGTGATGGTCCAGAGGCAGAAGACGGCCTTCCCTCCAAATTTTGTTCACTCACTCGACGGTTCCCATATGATGATGACTGCCATTGCATGCAAAGAAGCGGGCTTAAATTTTGCAGGTTTTCTATTTCTCAGCCTGTCACATCATTTGATGCTCCCGCAAATCCATTTTGTAAGCAACTCTTAATCGAGATTCACTAATCTTTGGCTGCAGGTGTGCATGATTCGTACTGGACTCATGCATCTGATGTTGATCAAATGAATAGAATTCTGAGGGAAAAGTTTGTCGAACTCTATGAAGCACCAATACTCGAAAATGTAAGTTCACTAAGTTGACATCTATACTTGAATTGTTGGAACCCAAGTTCGAATTGAAGTCTCTACTCATGCATGAATTTACTAGATTGACACAAAAGTAGATCAATCAAATTATCCGTTTGAGGTTCCTTATGTTCGAACATTCTAGTAATATGTATCTAGTAGGATCTTATACGCTAATGCTTGATGTTTTTTAACAGCTATCAGAAAGTTTTCAAAAGTCATTCCCTAAACTACGATTCCCTCCCTTGCCTGAGCGGGGTGATTTTGACTTGAGAGAAGTTCTGGATTCTCCGTACTTTTTCAACTAGATCAACGGTCATTCATTTTGGAAATTTTGGGCTACCATAAGAAAGTTTGGAATAAGATATACATCGCCCACCAACTCCGTGGTCAAAATGGCCATTGCAATCGAGGTGTGTAGCCAATCATTTGACTGTGCTCCATAGATGACCCTTCAACATGAGCCCATTGATCATCTCGAGCTATAGACTTAAAGCACGCTAACTATACAGGAAGTTTGGAATGTGAAGACGACACGACTAATCTTAAACCTGTCATACATTTGAAAGCTGGGGAGACATCTCCAATGTCGTTCCTATACGCATATAATGCAGTGAGGAGAAGCATTTGCTTATTTTGAGTCTGGAAACCTTGTATAGTCATATGGATAAAAACACACTGCTGTGTGTATATATTTCAGGTTTTTATTTTTTCTTTTCCAATTTAGTTTCACATTTTCACCTGATTTTTTTTTAATGTATATAGCAGCCAGCTGATAGTGTGATAATAGTCATCCATATACAATTTGTATCTCTGATATTTTTGCAGAGCATTCTGCTACTAATAAAGAAAATTGTTCACCACCTTTCTGGGAAAAAAGACATTACCCAATCAACTGTTTTTAGAGTTCGAAATGTTTTATTATCTTGTATATATTCGTGTACGATGAGGTTTGAATGAAGTTATATAGTTATCTTATGTTACATGAATTTACACATTAAACTCGGAAAAAAATTATGCCACCTAAGCTACTAATGCGGGCTCCGAACAATTTTGAATTGATGAAATATAAATCTCAAAGACAAGATGTTTTGCATAAATGTGCTGGAAGGAAAAGAAATTTCATCTCAATTTCTGTTCTTGAAATATAAGTTCATATTTCAGGTTCTACATGATACACTGAACACAAAAAAGAACATTTTTAAACGGATTTTCACAATTGAAATTTACAAAGGGTATCTGTCCTGTATGCCTGATGAACAATATTTTCTTTTCTCGTCGGAAAAAACTCCCATAACATCTGCTGCTTTTCTCACTTTCTTTACGATCATCGTACTCTATACAACCAAACTGCCAACTCTGAAATCTGTGGATACCGAACAAAACATGTGCAAAAAGATCGGAGAAATGAAGGCAATAATAGATAGCTATGCAACTTAAAGTTCACGATTCACTGTTTGTCTGGGGCGGTAGAGAACCTACAGATGCAAACAAAAATATGGTTTTACGGTTACTAGTGTTTTCTGGTTTCGTGTAAAATGATAAAATGTCAGAGTATTTGACGTACTATGATCTTGGCTGTTGAGGGGAGCATTTGGTTTGAAGCCAATATGGAAGACGTTATGAAGCTCGTTGTCCCATACACTAGGTACCTGTAGATTACTATAATCAATACAAATAGTCGATAAGAAAAGTAAAACTGCTTTTGCAGATTCTTGTAACTTACATTCACAGTTGCTTTTTCGGAGTTGATGGTTCTCTGCAATGCGTTGATGGGATTTCCATAGCCGGGAAGACCAGCTTGAAGGGGATTTATCGGGGGAAAAGGCATAGTAATGTCAGGTGGAAAAGCTAGCGAAGATGAAGGACCAGTTTGGGACTGGAGGATCTGCAATGCAGATGGACAAGTAATTAATCGTAATAAGAGAATCAAAACGGAAGCACAATTTATGCAAAATATGATTCTTTAGAGAAGGGATTTTGTTACGTCTTTTGCAAGTAGTCCATCAATGTTGAAATCCAATCGAGGAATTACTGTAGAAAGCTTCATCGATAAGAACTGAGGAAAAAGACAAAACGAGCAAGCAATCACACGTTACACATATAAACATTATAGGTTTCTCAGAGCACATTAAAGAACTTGCTAAGCACAAGTAGAATGGAGAATTATTTCAAAGTTTTTTTCGTACCTCAACCTGTCGTTGCAGTGATTGAACATAATTAATGATTTCATCCAGCATTACCGCTTTGCCAGTAACCTGCACGACCAACATTTCTCGCTAAGAAACTAAAACAGCAAGCGCGCACACACACACACACACACACACACACACACACACATATATATATATATATATATATATATATATATATATATATATATATATATATATAGGCGACTGTTCAAGTGAGTCCACCCCTTCGGCCTTCATATGAGTCCGTGTGGACAGATCTGGTCCATTAAAAACTAGAGATCAATGGTCAGATTTGGTCCATTATCAACTATGCAACTGCACATGGACTCGGGGGAAGGGGTGGACTCATTTGATCATGAGTATATATATATATATAGATTTAGGATCATATGAGAACATTTGCTTAGGTGAGAACGTGAAAACAAATCGTGTGCGTCCATCTAATATTTTTTAATGGTCTAGATTAGATTAAGTGTGTGCATAAAACAGAGAGGCAACTAGTGAATAAACTAGCCTTGTTGCAACCGGGTACAAGATCCTGAAGAAGTTTCATCCTTTGACTGATTTTCTCCCTCCTTACCTACAATTATATCAATTTGTTCAGTTCAAAAAAATACGTTATACACTGAAGATAACTCAACTTCTTGCAAACTTTTATAAACGGGAATTTTACTCTTTCTGCAAGGCTATGGCTATTTGTTGCCTGGCCTCTCCTGGCTCGAACATGAATGTATTCTTCTTTAGTAGAATCCGAAGCTTGGGCCCCCTGTTTACCATTTTTTCCTCCTTGCTTGCTCGCATTTGATATCAAGTTTTGCTGAATTTCAGTTTGGTCCTTTTTATCGAGATCAGCTTGCTGCAAAGCAAAGAAATTAAAAATAAGATCAAAATGTAGAATTGGAGCAAGTTTTTGGGAAAACCGAGGATAAAAACATGGCAAGAATGTAATACCCGGCCACCCCGTTTCCTTTTCTTCGAGGCAAGTCCCTTTGCGGGAGACTCCCGACCTGTGCCCTCCGATACCTCTTGATCACCAGGGCTGCTACATTCAGGTTCATCGGACTCATTTCCGGAACCTTCAACACATTGTTTTGCTTCGAAAGCATTCTCGTTCTTTGTACCATTCCTTGGTCGGCTCCCTTCAGCTGCCCCATCGATTGGTAAAGAACCCTCCTTGGAACTTTCCGCCACATTGGTCATTTCATGATCCCGATATTCGTTTCCCACAAAAACCTCTCGAGGCTTTTGAGTTGGCATTACACCCTTATTAGCGTAAGGATTCATAGGCTCGGTTGTGTTAAAAGGGTTGATTGGAATCGGATCGCACAAGTTCCCTCCACTGAAGCACGAAAACCTCGCTGCTCTTTCAATAAAACCCGAATCACCTGGAAATTGAGGTAAGCTTTGAGGAAGCATCCCAGAAGGCGTCGGAAAAAACATACCAACATTTCTATCGAGTCCAGATCCTAGAAGATTGGAACCACTACTAACACCAGGGAGAACATTAGCATCACGATAGCCCAAATTTACTGAATTAATCGCCCAAAAAGAATCTGTCATCGGATTGCTATTTGGAATCATTCCCATCGACACATTCGCAAGATTGGCACCGTTTAATTGCCAGTCAGAGGGCATATTATCTGAATGAAAGTTCAGAGCATCCTCGTTTCGTTTTGCTGTCTCAGTATCATCCTTTCCACTCATATCCATTCGAGCCAAATTCCAGAAAAACCTATGAAATGCTATAATCTTAGAACTGTTCATCCCATTTTCATGGTTCCCAACAAATACAGTCTAAAAAACTTTAATAACATAGAAAAACAAACCTTTACTTTCTAAAACTAAATGTCTGTTGTCTAAAATTCTTCAAGAAATATAAAATATGCAACCAACAACCTAAAATAGCTTCTCCAGCTCAATAGACTATAAAATAGCTAGAAAGGATTCAATTAAGCAAATTCCAAGTTCAAATCACAGCAGAAAAAGAAAAAACATAAAAATTTAGTGAACCTAGGGCCAAGGTTTGAGCTTTTTAAGGCTATTGAGGCATCTGCAGTTTTGTTTTAGTAGCATCCCTTCAACTTCCAAGGAAACAGAGAGCCAGTTCAATAAAGAGCTAAAAGAAAGTGTTCAGAAACAGCCAATTAATCAGAGACATTTGGTATCAGCATCATAAATGCAATCAAACTAAAACCCAAAATTTCTATGGCTAAACCAGACTGTGTAAAACCCTAGTTACAGCAACCCCCCACCCAACCCCAAAACTCTTTCTGGGCAGCTCTGAAACACAAAGAAAGAGAGAAGATACCTTAGTTCAGATTGTGTACTACTTTTACTCTGAAACTTCTTTTACTGATTACTGAAGAAGAAAAAAGGATTCTTGGGGAGCAATTCAAAGCTCAAACTCTGCTATGGACTGTCACCGTATCAAGAAAACAGAAACCAAAGAAAGCTATAAAGATTGAGAGAGAGTGAGAGAGAGAGAGAAAGAAATATCAGAGTGGAGAGAGAGAAATGTGCATTTGAAGGGAGTCTTTAAAAAAAAAAAAATTAAAGAAAAGAAAAGAAGAAAGCTTAAGAACAAAGGCCCTTGCCTGCATTTATATCCCACGCCTGCATCAAAAAGAGAGCTCTTGATGATTAGCCACCGCCACTGCTACTGTAAAGAATTGCACAGTGAAGCCTGCACAGCATTTTATTTTTAAGCCATAGATTGTCAACAAAAAGATGAATTTTCATAATTGTAATGTGTGAATTATACCTATTGTGATAAACATTAGACATTAAGGACTCGTTTATTAACTATTTTTTTTTAAACGAGTGTTAATTAACAAGTTTTGTAAATAGAAAACAAATAATGAAAACTGAAAATTAAGAAACAGAGAACAGTTATTTGAAATAAATCGACCTTAATCCTCCCACCTAATGATTCAATAAGTAATCGTGATTTATTATATTTACAATTCTTGTCCAAGCTAGAATGCGAGACTTGAGACAAGAAATTTCGCTTTATATGTGTAAAAATTACACAGTGAATAATTCAAATACACAATAAATACTTCTTCACATTTACCCACACTCAAATTCAACTTCAAAAGCTTAATTTAAACAAACAAAAAAAAGGGTTAAGATCTTGAACTTGAATATGAACTCCACCATGACCAAAGGTTTTAGATTGAAATTGCTCAAAGTGATAAAGAAAAGAAGTGGCTTTTGAGTGAATTGTATGAAGATAATACTAAAGTAATGCTACAGTGATTGATTATTAATAAAGCTAAGCAACTGACATTGCCAACTATAATCTGGGATTATTTTTTTCTATATGGTGTTGTCCTTCCTTCATTAGGCCTTGGAAGGTGAGCCTATACTAACCTTTCTTAGATTTGCTTGGTCAAAGACAACTATTTATAGCTTGTTTTCACACATTTTTATACCCACCTGGATTTTGATTACTTCTACACCTATACTATGGTGAAAATAAAATATATGTTGGAAAAAATAACTTAAAATGGCATGTTAAGTGACTATTTTGTGGTGCAATTATCAGAGGGGTCCACTTTCGATTTGGGTCGGGTCAAAGTGGATTCAGGTTCTTCGTAGTGAGACAAAGAGATTGATATATTGTACGCTCAAAATGGATAATGGGTGAATGAGATATTGATTCTCAAAGTAAACCCATTTGAGTTGGAAAATGAAGAAAAAAAGTGAGCTTTTTATCTCATATTGATTTGGAAAGAGGATTTGCCCCCCTTATATACAAGAGCTCTTTTGAAGCTTTTAGAATTATATAGCATAGATGTTCTCTCGTGCTGAGGAGATTGCAAATCAAATTCCAACTAGACGAGATTGAATGGCGGTGATATAGTGGGTGACTTGACTTTGGAGCATGCATGGTGTTGGTGGTGGGCGTTGGGCACATTATATTGATGGTTTGGTACTATATACATATATGGTTCAGAAGTAGTCTGTAACTTGAAGTCAAGGCCTTTATTATGACTTCATATCCATCCTTCTTTGTACGGCTGATTTCTTTGCCTTTTCTCATTCTCTATTATTGCTCCCAAACTTCTTGTCGGTTCACCTCAATTAATTCCTATTTTTGGAACTCCATTTATTGTAACTACCAAACTATTTTTTGGTTGGAGGATTATATTCAATTTTCGCAAAAAGTTGAATCTTCAATTTCAAGAGCTTTCACATTATGATTCAATAAAACATTTGGGATGATATAAATAATGATAACTCATCAGTTGAAATAATTGAAGTATTCAAGTGTCTTGCTATGGAAGTTTTTTTTTTTTTTTTTTTTTTTCCTTTTGGAGTGAGTATGCAATATATAAATATAAACGATGACATACTCGTTTTTAGTGATATTTGAACTTATAATTAAAAATTATAGTTAGTTTCAGAGTTATGCTTATAAAGAGTTTAGCTATTAAAGCTTTTAAAAGTGGTGAATTATGTACAAAGTAAACTAGTTTTTGGCGGTAGAACGACTAAGATATGTAACCTAAAGTAATCATTTAGCGATTAAAAGTATGATAAGAGTCTTGTGAATGAAACCACTCTAATCTTGGTGACGTTCTTCTAAGTATTTATTGTTTTTTTTTTATTAACTTAGACATACTTTAATATAGGTTGATGGGATTATATGGCGAGCCTATTTGTAGTTTGGTACCATAACATGAGGATCGACCTAATTCAACATTAAATCGGTTTTAAAAAAAACAATTATAGTCCAAAGCCCAAAGGGATATTTTGGTGTTAAAGTGGTTAAACTCTTTTTTTTTTTTTTTTTTAAATTAAAATGTCATTTACAAAACAAGGTTAATATCAAATCGAGATCTTAGACTCCACAAAGTGAATGAAATTTAGATTTCACGTACAGCTAGCAACAAATAGTCAAACTGCCATTACTGTATTCTTTTATCCTTTTATTCATTCTAAAATCTTGTTATTATTATTATTATTATTATTATTATTATTATTATTATTATTATTATTATTATTATTATTATTATTATTATTATTATTATTATTATTATTATTATTATGTAATAGAATCTAATATTCTTTCAAGACTGTTCATTATTGAATCCTTTGGACTTATGTGATTTAAAACTATGTTGGATTTGAATCGTCAGTTACTCAAGAATGTTTATACATGATGGAATTGATGTATAAATTAAAATGAAACTTCAATTTGTTTTCACTTCGCACATAAGAGAGTAACTTGATATCATTGGATGATTGGATCACAAAGGTCCTTGATTTTCATTCTCTGTTTTATGTTTAAAAATTTGTTTATTAATACTTATTTTTCAAATTTAACTTTTTAGACTAATGTTATAAAATTAATACAATTATAGTTTTGAGTGATTTTTTTGACCTTATATTTTAAAAATATTTTTGGATATATTTGATTTAAATGAAATAAATATAATTTTTACTTTTAAGTCTAATATATATAAGATTTTTTACATTTGATATCCGAACCAGTTTTATATCTATGTATAACATAATTAAAAATATATCTAAACTAATAACCTATTAAGTTTACCTAAAATTTAGTTTATATAATATGAAAACTTTTTGAGCTAATATTTAAAATATTTTTGGATATATTAATTTGAATGAAATGTATGTGTGTATAATTTTTACTTTGAAATCTAATATATGTGAAATTTTAATGTCTGGTATTCAGACCAAACTTGTATTACGATATAACATAACTAAAAATATCCAAACCAACAAATTTAGTTATGAATAATGTCTAACTTTAAGTGTAAGCAAATAAGTTATTTTTATATAAGTAAATGCGAGTAAAAAAGATAGAAGATGGTGATAAGTAAAAGATGATAATAAACATAAGAATATTGTTATATAGTGATATATAGTCAAATAAATGATAAATGATTTACTAAACACCTTGTGCTCAGATGACATGTAGTGACCTCTCTAATGTGGGAGGTCATATAAGATTGAGCCTTAGTGGAGGCGTTTAATTAGGTTGAGAAAGTATCTATCTAATAGAGTTAGTAGCATTAAAAAAAATGATATATGATTCTGTTTTTTTATTTATACAAATTGAAAAGTGTTTTCAATTTTTAAAATAGAAAATTTTATTAGTAAATATGTTTAATATTTTCTATTATTAAACTTTTCAATTTTTCAGAAAATTATAGAAATTATTCGATTATTCAATTAGTAAATGACCCTTATATGTTTGTAAATATTTTGTACTAATCTACATTTTTTATCATTAATATTTTTTAAGCAATAGCCACAATGTTGATGGACTGCTACCTATCACTTTTCCTTGATGCCATTATTAGCTGGCCTTGGGACTTGTAATCACAAAGACCTAAGCCTAAGTATATATAATGGAATCTCTTCTATACTTTGCATTAAAAAATTTGTACTTAATACTATTTCCATTTTTTTTTCAGAAAAAAGTCAAACAGGTCCTTAAACTTTACTCGAAACTGTAATTACGCTCTTAAATTTTTTTAAAAATACAATTAAATATTAAAATTTATCAAAATGAGTCAATTAAGTCTGATTTACTGGTAACTAATAGGTTACTGGTAAAATTATGATCGTTGACCGTTGTTCACAATCGTTACAAAATTGCAAGTAACTTTCTCTAGTCTTCTCCACCGGAGACGGCCGACCAGTCATCTTCTTTGTGGAGAAGGCGACCAACAGGCTGGCTGTCTTCTCAATTGAAAAAGACGACCAGATCTAGTTGAAAAAGACAACTGGTCACGTGCGTTGAATTTTTATTTTTATTTTTATTTTTTTGTTAAATTCAAAGAGTCGTCAGAATTTTTTAATCGCCGGAATTATTGTCGAATTTGTCGTCGAAATCTTGATGACGGATTATTTCATGTGAATTACTAGTTATTGGGTTTAGATGCACTAAAATGATAAATTTAAATATTCAATTATACTTTTTTAAGTTCAATGGTCTAATTACACTTTCAATGGCCTATTTCACTATTTGAGGGCTTTGTTTTCCTATTTTTTGCATTTTAATGACCACGTATAATTCTTTTTTTTTTTTGAAAGTGACCACGTATAATTCTATTTTTTAAAATCTCATACTTAAGTCATTTAACTATTAGTTTAATTATATTAAAGGATTCTCATAATATTCTTACTTTGGTATTTAAAGTCCAAAATAGTGGTCGAGTGAGTGATTGTGTGAAACATAATCCTATATATAATAAAGCTATATGGTCTTGTGAAAATTGAATGTTGCATTTAATTTTCACAAGACCATATGACTTTAAGATGTGAAAGTCTTGTGAAAATTAAATGGGCTTTAAGATGTGAAAATTACTTTAAGATGTGAAAATTAAATGTTGCATTTAATTTTCAAAAGACCATATGGCTTTAAGATGTGAAAATTAAATGTTGCATTTAATTTTCACAAGACATATGACTTTAAGAAGCATGCATGCAACCCCAAAGTTCATAAGTTTGAAATTAATATATAGCATAGTTAGGTGGCTTAATATTTAAGATTGTTGATGTGCATATTGAGGAGTACG